GGAATCAAAGTTTGTTGCTCTTGAAATGACTCGTAATGAAGCTAAGTGGTAGAAAAACTTAACAAATATTTCGTTAGGGATGAAACCAACCCATTTTGTGTTAATACATTGTGATTGCCAATCAACAATGACTATAACTGAAAACAAGAATTACAATGGAAAGAATAGACACATATAATTGAGACATAATTTGGTGAAACAGTTTCTAAATAGTGAAACAATTTCCATTGACTATGTGAAGTATGAACGGAATCTAATAGATCCTTTGACGAAACTCTTAGGCAGAAACATGATTTTAGAACACATTTAAGGGAACGAGACTTAAGCCACTTGCAAACAAACAAATGATGGTAACTCAACATTTGTAATTAGATATATCATGAATAAGGTTCATATAGGTAAAAACAAGTCATTTATTAATTTTGCTAGCACTAAAATTGATTAAAATCAATTATGTCCATTCCTATGGTGTGTGTGAAAGTACTAGATACTGCATCATTGAGAGGTTAAACTTTGTAATTAAAATTCTAAGTGATGTATGAATTTTAGTCTAAACAAAGTTTTAATGATTTCATATTCTTTATATGTGATGTATGATTTGCAGCATACACTTGATGAAATCACCTATTTGAGTGTCAAGTGGGGTCACTTGTATGAGATCTTTGCAAGATTTCTAGAGCACTCAAGTGGGCACGCGCATGGCCTAATAAGCACAACACAGCCATAATAACAAGAATTGTGGGGATGTATTATAATTGTTAAACCGCTAACACACACCAAGTGTTTTGGTTTATAACTTGTTATAACAATTACACTATATGTTAAGTTTTCAGTCTAGGACTGATTCATATAATTTGTTATACCAACTCTGATGCATTACATTTTATATAAGATCAAATATTTTCTTCTTTTGTTCTTTTATTTTATGTTGCAATATGTGGAGATTGTTGTAGAAGAGGATATTGCAAAACCCTAAAATGACTCCACTCTTCTACTGAATTTCTAGCAACAATCAAGCTCATGAACTGTGAACGTTGTATCACACGACTCGCTCACCTCTATGAACATGTGCTCATATAAATAGACCACTTCATACTCCTCCAAGACACACTTTACTCATCTCCTCTTCTCCCTCTTTTGTTATATTCGTATCCTGGATTTATATACTCTTTTAAGAGATTCTTACTAGTTTCAGAGTTCCTTAAATAATCCGAAAAACTTTTATTGTATTTGAAGGACTTACACGATACATCGCATATAAATCCTTAAGGACAATGTTTATACATGCCCCAAAAATCAAATTTTGTTCCAAATGATAAAATTATATTTTCGGTCCTTAATAACTTTTTGTCTTTCAAATTCAAAACCGAATTATTCTTTAATGTGGGACAAATTTTTTTCTTCAAAATTAAAAACGGTGAAATGAAATGTTGTGTAACACTTTTTGCTGTCTTCATTTATTTTTAAGTTTTTATGATGCCAAACATACTATTAAGAAAAATAGAAAAGAAAGATCCAAGGGAAAGGGTTGGTTAGGAAAGTTTGTTGCTAGAAAAGTTGAAAATGAGGGACCACTCTGTTTTGGTTGCATAATTGGATCTAAAGAGAAACAATGTAAGTGTACTTTTTAGAAGATTAATTATACAACATCCCAATAAACCATAAAACAATGGTAAAAGATATGAGATCATGGAACCTCTTACTTTCATAATAATATTGTCTTCTCCTTCAATACTTGGGTTCCTTTCGCAATATTCAGTCCCTTTTGTTTTTATTATTGATTCTTTCAATGTTTGAAATGAGATTGGGTTTATAGCAACTGTGTGTAATTGAGAAAAGTTTCTTTGTGGTTTGTTTTCATGGGGTGCTTTAAATTTTGGATTTTTCTATCATCTCTTTGAATCATGTTGTTAAGAAATGCTTGAAAGAATAGCTGAAAGAAAGGTTTATTATTAAATAACATATATGCTATTATATATCTTATATAAGGTGAATCGTGTATGTGTGTTTCAATATTACCTCATTACAAAAATACATAATATTTTCCTTCTTCTTTTTTTCATTTTATACCAAACGGACCTAGAAGTTTAACATTGTCGAAAAAGAAGTCATGAATTTGGACAGTTGGTACTCTTTGATACATGAAAAAAAAAAAAAAAAAAAAGGTTACTGTAAATAAAGTTGATAATGTATTAAAATTATAATAAAGTGAATTAATGATATTTTAATAAACTTTTTTATAATTAATTTCTTAAACAGCAATGCAGCCATTTGTCAAAATTTATTCATTAAGATAATGAGAAGAATAATTCCTGGTCTTTGCATCGTGAATGCATGACTTGTTCAAGAATAAGATTAATTTTATCTAAATATTATAAGATTAGTGTAAGTTTTACATCCTAAACAGATTTTATAGAGACTGTGAAGCCGACTACAATTAAAAATATACAAAATAAATTATACAACACGCACGTTCAAATTTAGTTAAGAAGAAATTGAAAGCGTGAACAATAAATTATTATTATTTTCTTTTGAAAAGTAATCTTCCTTAAGGAAGATATAGCCATCAAATATTTGTTATTACTATTCCAATACCGATCAGTTCTCTAGAAAAAAAAATTACAATGAATAAAAAATAATTCACTATATTAATTAAGGCTCAACATATAGTTGGTAAAATTATACAAATTTAGTATTTAATTAAATAAACAAACTCTTAAAAAAGTTAAATAATTTACGATATCAATATGTCATTTTTTATAAAAATGTCAAATTAAATCGACAATATGTTATTCATATATATAATAGTAGTTTTTCCATCCATTTCAAACAAAACCTATATACGGTTCCTTCCCCTGTTATAATCTAGTATTTATCATTTAAAAAAAAAAAAACTTTTATGTGATTTTATCGCGTATCATCTTTTTAACTATTTCTTTTTTATTGCTAAACATTAATTTTAATATTTTTTAAATAGTTTTTTATATTAATGTAATCAGTGCAACTTTTTATCTCTTATATTTATTGTTATTTTTTATAACCTTATTTAAATTTTAAATGGTGAATTTTTATATGAAAATCTATACGACAATAAAATGTGTAAAAGGAAGATAGAAAATATGAAAAATAAGAAATAGAAATGGAAAAAATGACATTGTTTTCATAATAATTTAGATGTAATATAAGACTTAATTGCAAAATAAAAATTAAAAAATATTATCAACTTTTTGGGTCTAATTTACTAAACTGTCTCGTGGTGTCATTCACGTATTAAATTTAACTAATCAGATTTATCTGTAGATAAAAAAATTAAGACATATTTTTCATTTTTAAAGATGTTTTTATAGTTTTTCTGCTTATAGGGATTCATATTGAGAACACTCCACATTTTTATTATTCATGAAATTGATTATTTATTTATTTTTTTTAATAAATTTGCTACTTTTAGATGTATAATTTTTTCTAGTATTTTTTTTAATTGTTATTAGCCATAATTAGTTTAACACTAGATATTAAAATATGTTTTTTATAAAATAATTAATTAAAATATTTTAAATAATAAGAAAATAATGTAAATTAAATTTACTAATGCATTTATTATTTTATATAAATAAAAAATTATATATAATTTATTTTTACTGTAGTTTTTATATATTATCAGCAGTGTTAACAGAAATTAAGTGAGTAGTGAGAATTAAGATTGCATGAAAAGTAAAAATTCAGACTATAAAGTTTAAGTTTGTTAATGTATAAAGTTCAATTGCATATATACACATTATCTATGTATTCTAATTTAAAGTAATTATGCAAAATAAGGAATGTGTGTTTTAATATGCCAAATGAGATTCAGTTTTTTTTTTTTAATTTACATATATTCACTCATCATATAATAAACCGCGCATGTTAAAAAATTATTATGTATCATTATAATAATACTTTTATGTAAATAAATTAATGTCCAGATATTTTTGTTAATATTTAAATTTATTTTATTTACATTTTTCTAAAAAGACAAGACTCGTTTAAAACAAATTGAGAAAATAATAAAAAGTATATATTTTCATAGCCGAAAGAGGTAATTAAAATAAGTTTTATTATTTAACTATGTACCATGTATGTTTACTAACGTAACCAATATTATGATTGAGTCAATTTTGTGCACTTGTTATTCTTTTTCAGACACAAAATTCAAATGATTTCATTATCTTAAATTATTAAAGTTAATATACTTAAAAAATACTTCATATGTTCAATGAAAGAAGAATATGATATTATTTATACATAATTTCTATCTAATATTTAATACTCTTCTAGATTATATAAAAGTTGTTTAAATTTAATAATTTTGAAATATAAACTGAATAAATAAAATTTCAATGAATAAAAATAAATAAATAAATAAAAATAATTAAACTAATTAAATATTATACATAAATAAGTTGTACCTTTCACATTAACCTAATTAGCTATACAATAAATGCATGACGACTCATAATGAATATGATTTTACTCCAACAATATTTTAATTTAATTATGTATTTATTTGTTCAAAATCCAACATACTTTTATGTACTATTAAATAAAGAAAAGAAGGGAAACTCATGTTAATAAGTTTATAATAATTTTAATATAAATAAAAATATTAATTGTATTTTCAATTTATATCTTTAAAGTTTACTAATAAAAAAATTAATTAACATATAATGTATACTATCATTGTTGAAAAAAGAGAACTAATGTGAGATAGAAAAAAAAATTGAAAGATGAGAAAGAAGATAAATTAATGACTATTTCCTTCACTCTAATATTGTTTAAGAATTTTCTTATTCTTTTGATAAAAAAAATTTCTAGTCGTTCATTGCAATAATTATTTTTATTAAAATAAATAAATAATTTTAGTTTATGTTTACCTTTCACTCTCTTGCTAATTAATTGTTATATCAATCTACTATTCATAGCCCAAATATGAACCTCTGGAAAAACTAGAATATGGGCCATGCATGACCTTTGTGCCGGAAAGAAATCATAGAAAAGCGAGTTTTTTGAACACTCTCCACCTTTTGCTCCTTAACGCAATGTCCATCCGGAAGACCCTCTCAAATCTACTACACACCTTCAACGACAAAGCCTCAGTGATCGCAGCATCAATTTCACTCAAGCGCCATGTGTCCTCCGTCCGCATCTATGTGCTTCGCGCCACCACTCACCGCCTCGCCGCTCCTCCGTCAGAGTCCCAAATCGCTGCCGTTCTCTCCGCAGGCCGTGGCTCTTATCTCCTGCCTCGCACCTGCATAGAGGCCATCATGGACCGCCTTCACAGAACCCGAAGCGCCTCGGTGGCACTGAAATGCCTCTTCATTCTCCACAACATAGTATCTGAGGGACCCTTAATGCTAAAGGACAACCTCTCCCACTACCCTTCGCGCGGAGGAAACAACGCCCTTAACCTCGTCAGCTTCCGCGACGAAACAGACATGGAATCACTGCAGCTCAGCTCGTGGGTTCGATGGTACGCCAATGTTCTGGAACATGTCTTGACGGTTTCTCGTGTTTTGGGTTATTATCTGATAAAGGATGGCGTCCAACGAGAGTTTACGAGGGTGTCCAGTGTTGAATTGTTATGTGAATTACGAGGATTAGTCGATTTCGTGGAGCAGGTGAGTCACGCGCCTGAGTCACTGCACCTTCAGAGGATCGATTTGGTGTATGGCGTTGTGAGATTGGTGCGAGATGATTACGGACGCGTGCAGGGCGAGATTTCTCGGCGTGTGGAGGAGATTGAGAGGAGGGTGGTGGATTTGGGTGTGGATGAGTTAAGGGAGTTGGTGTGGTGTTTGAAGAGATTGGAGGAGTGCAGGGAAAGGTTGGTGGTTTTGTTTGTGAATAGAAAGAAAAACGGTGCGTTTTGGGATTTGATTGGTGGGGTTAAGAATAAAGGAGTGGTGGTGATGGAGGATATGGAGGGGAAGTGGTTGACGGTGGTGAAGGGTAAGAACGAGTTGACTGAGTCGATGAGCTTCTCCAACCCGTTTCTCGAGCCTGGAGAAATTTTATATTCCGGTCCCACAGGGTGGTGTGTGGCCACGTGTCAACTGACTGTTCCGCGGTTGGGATGATAATTTCCAACGGTCTTATTGTCAATAAGGTGATCGTCGTTTTTGTTTTTTCTTTTCCTTCTGTTCATTTTTATTTTTTTATCTCTTTCCTTTTTTGTTTACATTGGTTCAATAGAAAATAGAACAAACACGTATGTATATCACAGAGATATTTCTAGCCACAGAGAGAGGTTTTGTTTAATTTAGACTTGAAGTTTTTTATGTTCTATGGAGTTGATCTGAACTTGTAATCTGATGGGATGTCACATCTTTGAGCTTTATCAGCGGGTCCAAAGCGAGGAAAATGAGAAGGAAATTTAGTTACAAGTTCTTCTTTTGTAAAGGATGATTTTCATGATTAAACTTGATTGAACAATTAAGGATGGGTTTTTGGTCAATTGCTTAACCGTGTCACATGTGTTACAATGATTAAGTTTACCTATTCATTATATAGTATTGGTTCTGCACATGCCTATTGGAAAAGTATTCATTAATTCCCAGATGTGGAGTGTAGTTAGTTATACTAGCATGAATTATGCATCTATAAGTTTTGCTTCTTGCTGTGTGAATGCAGTCTCACCCTTGTATACATGCATGGATACATCTGTTATATATATATATATATATATATATATATATATATATATATATATATATATATATATATATATATATATATATATATATATATATATGTGGATCTTCACCGAGACCAAATAATATATTATTAATAAATAATAAATAAATATAAAAGAAAAAAAAAAGATGAAAGGATGAAAAAATAAAATTACATATATATACTTAAATATATTAAATGATCGTTAAGTTTGATTAAGAAGGAATTGAGAGGATAAAATTATAAATATACAAATAAATATATTAAATATTCATTAAATTTGGGGTAAAATCATAAAAATCATAGTGAGTTACATAATTTTAGTGGAAGTCAAGTCATGAATATACAAGATATAGTATCTCTGCTCTATATCTCTATATATATATATATATATATATATATATATATATACCATATTTTATAACAATAAGTTTTATATATTGATACGCCTGTATTTCAATAAATAAACAAATTTATAATACAAAAATATTTAAATCATCTTTATAAATTCAAAATTATCGTATGTCATGGATAATAAAGATAATAATCATGTGATTATTAAGTTAATAATGTCTAAATTTAATGGTGAATATTCAATAATAAAAAATTCATAATTTAATATTTAAATTTAATAATTTGTTAGATTTAAGTTAAAATAAAAAAATATTGAATATTAAAAAATATTTAAATATTTTTTTTATATATTCTCTCTTTTGTTTTTATATTATATATTATTTTGATCCAAAATGTATTGGTTAGATATATATTCTTGAGTTGAAATGAAAAATATGTCTAAATAAATTAAAAATATTTCATTGAAAACTAAGTAAATGACATGTTAATTTAATTAAGATCGCACTTAAAATGTCTCAATTAAAATTTACACTACTACAAAATTAGTTTTTTTTTGCTAATTTTTTTTAAAAAAATGTTTTAAATTTATAAGCTTTATCAAAATTTTACAAAAATATTCCCATGAAAAATGAAAATTTTTAGTAGTAATAGTTCATGATTAACCAAGTTAATCATTTTAATATTTGAATTGAAACTAAATAGATGATACATTGATTGATATTGCATTTAACTCAACATGTCTGAATGCATTATTGAAATTAAATTTAAATTTCTTAATATTTTGGATTTCAATGTTGTTAAGAAAAAAATAATTAAAAAATAATTAAAATTTTAACGTTAATTTTTAACAATTATGTGGCACTTAATATTGCAATAAGTTGGTAACAAAAATAAAATACCATGTTTTTTTCTTTTATGCTTCCTGATCTTGCCCGTTTACAACTGAATTAGGTCTTCAGATTATTGATAAATGTATTTAGGCCATGTGTTGTTGAACCTGGGCTTCCAATGTTGGCATAAACATTATCAAACCGAAACAGAGGCAGGGGAGTTCTCACTAACCTTGGTGTTTTTTATGTTTAGAAAATCGTTACTGTTTTCATCATCTCAATTATACAATACAGTGAATGTTACATATCTCCAATTCTTAATTGGCTAGTAAATTTGACTTTGAAGAACAGATTCAGAACTGTGAAATGTGTAAAACTGAGGACTGATTAGTTATAAATTTAGACACACACTTTCAATTTAGATCAGTTCACATTTATATCATATTTAAATTAAATGTAGCTTCAATAATAATTTTGATTAAAGAGCATTTAACATTCATCCCAATTTTATCCTGAAACTATGTCCACATTCTTTTAATTTATTTAATAATGTTTATAAAACTTTCATTTACAATTTTATAAATTATAAAATTTGTTTAACTGTTGATTAATGGTATAACAAAGATTACAAAATTGATGTTTGATTTGAAAGTTAAATTAATAATATTATTTTACAATATCATTTAACTATAAAGCACAATTTATTTACGTCAATTATTAAAAACAACATAAAAAATTATGTTACTATGAAAATGAATATAAAATTATTACATGACCATTAGAACTTTTTTTTTCAGTGTTATAAATATAAATATTTAATATTATTTAAACATAAATAAATTATTATTAATATCATCACTTGAATAAAATTGAACTATTAAACATTGAAATAATTTGTTCATTAATTTAAAAATTATTAAGCATTTAAAGTTTCTATTTAGAGTGTAGATAACATGAAAGGCATGTGGTGGATGGTGGGAGATAAGAAGAAAGCAGAGAAGAGAAGCATGAAGAGAGTTGGGGTGGTGTTGAACTCAATCCTTCTAGCCATAGGAACTTCCGGTGGCCCCCTCGTAATGCGTCTCTACTTCATCCATGGTGGCAACCGAATCTGGCTCTCCAGCTTCCTTGAAACCGCCGCCTTCCCCCTCATTCTCATTCCCTTAACCATCTCTCACATTTCTCGTCGTCATGCTCACCACCATCATTCATCAAAACCTAACCTCATCTCCATCAAACTCCCTCTCTTTCTCGCCTCTGCCTTCATTGGAATCCTCACCGGCCTCGATGACTACCTCTACGCCTGCGGTATAGCGCGCCTCCCCGTCTCCACTTCCTCCCTCATCCAATCCTCGCACCTCGCCTTCACCGCCGTCTTCGCCTTCCTCCTCGTTAAGCACAGGTTCACGCCCTACTCCATCAACGCCATAGTTCTGCTCACCGTGGCAGCGGTGGTGCTGGCACTGCGTTCGGGCGGAGACCGCCCGAGCGGCGAGTCCACACGGCAGTACGTGATCGGTTTCATTATGATTCTGGCGGCTGCGGCGCTGTACGGATTGGTTCTGCCGTTGATGGAGTTGGTGTACAAACGGAGCAAGCAGCGTATTACTTACTCTCTGGTGATGGAGATTCAGCTTGTGATGTGCTTCTTTGCTACCTTGTTCTGCACCCTTGGAATGATCATCAATAAAGACTTCAAGGTTTGGATAAGCTTTTTCTGTGTTTGTGGACTCACTACTGTGTTTTAGTTAGAAAAATATCTATCATAAGAGTATTTTTCTGAGAGTTTAATTTTATATATTACTTTTGTACAATTGATTAATCAATAGTCAATAAATTAAGTATAGGGTAGCAATTTAGGGTGTGATAAATTTTTCAGGTGATTTCGCGAGAAGCAAAAGATTATAAGCTTGGGGAAAGCATGTACTATGTTGTGGTGGTGGGGAGTGCAATAATGTGGCAGTTTTTCTTCTTGGGAGCAATAGGGGTTATATTTTGTGCCTCATCTTTGTTTTCAGGAATTGTAATTGCTGCTTTTCTTCCAGTGACTGAAGTTTTAGCTGTGATTGTATACAAAGAAAATTTTCAGGCAGAGAAAGGGGTTGCTTTGGTGCTCTCTCTTTGGGGGTTTGTGTCATATTTCTATGGTGAAATTAAGCAAGACAGGGAAAAGAACAAGAATGGTTGCCCAGAAACAGAGCTGCCTCTAAGTCTTCCTCCCAATTCATGATTACAAGTAAAGTTTTGGTGAGTTGATTTCACTGTCTTGGTTTGTGTTGAATTGTCAATATTGAAGGCTAGCTTTGGTCCCAGCAAGACCAAAACCACAAAAAGCCAAAAATCATTTCTCACCCTTTCGAAATGCAATTATTAAATGAGTAGAAACAAAGATATTCACTTACAGTTACTTTTCACCAGACAATGTATGGATTAAAATTTATATCATGCAAATAGATTTCAATGTGACTTATTATGAAAAATGTAAAAATTATATTCATCTTGTAGATAGTAATATGTTTTCATGTAAAATTTGTCTGATGTAATGAAAATATTTATTTGTATATTTTAATTTTTGTTTGTGTAAATTAGATATTAATAGTTATTCACATTCCGTTTTATTAAATATTAATCTTATAATTTAATTATGAAATTTCTATTTTCTATTCAAATTTTATTATTATGGGTTTGTAATATGAAATAAGTTTAAAAGTAATATTTAGAAAATATTTGATAAATTTAAATAATTATGTAAGATGTAAGATTATGTTTATAAAAGGTAAAAATTTGACATATTAAGTAGAAAATGAACATTTAGAAGGTTAAGATTAAAAAAAATTAACAAAGAAATGGTGAAAAGAACAATTTAGTTAATTTTATAAATAGAAAAACTAATCAACACAAAAAAATATTTAATTAAGCTAATATTTATATATTCAAGAATTTTCGTGTAAAATTGTTGTTGGTAGCTTTTATGTTTGATGTAAAAAAGTTGGAGAAGTTATTGGAATTCCAATATCCACGGGAAGCCTCCTAGCCTTAGACAGTAAGTTTTAAAAACAATATTTATATATTTGTACAAATAATATTACCTTCCTTAATTTTAAAATTTTTAATAAAATATATAATAAGAATTAAAAAAATACATTTTTAATAAAATAAAATTCATATCTTTTATATTTTTAACAAAATAATACTTCTCTTATTTTAATAAAAATGACATTTACAGTCTTTAAAATACTTACCTTTCACATGTAATTTGTTTGGTTTTATATTCTCCCCTTATTATGTATTTATAATTGAAAAATAAAACTAATACACTTTCTTAAAACATTCCCTATTATTAACTAATTTTTGTTGAAAATAAAAAATATATATATAATTCTTGATAGGCGGACATAACTTGAAAGATGGGGATAATTGTCCCACAACTTTTTTTTTCAATAAATATATTTAATAACTTTTTTTGCTCCCATAATGAAAAATGGGTGATGTCTTCATGAGATAGTTTTCTCTAAAAGAATATAGAAAAAAAATAGTACTAATTTTAATGCTATATAAAAATACTATTTTTATTATTTTATCTTTCTAAATTTACGATTTTCAGTTCTCCAATAATAAATATATTATAAGTTAATGACACAAACACATTTAACACAGTTATACAGAGAAATGGAAAAATTATAATTGGTTATTGCTATTTCTAAAAGAACTCTTCATTGTTCAAAAAGTTTTTACAAGGTACGATGAAGTGATCTATTGATCTGATTCATGTATAAGTATATTCATTGAATTCATATATTATAATAATACATATAAAAACATGGGTAAAATCAAATTCATCATTTGGTTAATAATCTCTCTTATTTTTAAAATCTAATAAATTTCCCTATTAATAATTAATGATCAAAACTAATCCAACCAATTTTTTCATAGTTAAAATATCTTTTAAATTTACCTTTCTAAAATGTCTTAAAAAACACACTTTTATTTTTTATTTTTTTAAATTTTGTGAAAAAGTAATTTAAAATTTTTACTTTTATTATTTTAAATATTATTTTTATGAATAAATTGGATATCCATCCATAAAATAATTATTAATGAATGGATTGAATTGAATTTTTTTTTATTAAAGGGTGGAATTGAACATGATTTTTAATTAAATTTTAATAACTCTATATTTATAAATTTTTTATTCTATCTAGTATAGTCCTAAATAAAATTTATCTAATCAATAAAGTTTTTTTTTCATTTTTTTTCCATCGCTCACAATCTTACGCATATTCTTTTCTTTGGAGATTCTTCTGTAATATCATTGTCATATTGACGACAAAAAATTAAACATTCTTTTTAAAATATAAAAATATGTAACGAACAAGTATAATTTATAAAAAAAACTTAGTATTTTTACTTTTTCTATCATAAGATTATGTATTTTATAAAAATCCATACTTTAACTTATGAAATATTATAGATAACAATTTAACTATTAAACAAATTATTTTGGATCCACCACTGATCTCACTCTTTAATACACTTCATTTGTGATTCTGTAGTTTTCATATAGTTTGAATCATGGACTTTGCTAGCCATATATTTCTTATCAGCATTCAAGTTTCAAGCGATCAGGTATATACGAACAAGCCTAATAATAATATTCAACAAATACTACAACTTATTCTAAATAGTCTGATAAAATCATCATCTTTCAATGAACAAAAGTTCTGTACGTAATTATTTGTTGAATTCCAGAAACCAATGATGACGTATATGATTTGAAGCACAAAAGAAAAACCAACCCCCAAACCCGGGAGCGGAATAAATTACAACATCAAATGCACTGTAAATATATTTAAAAGGTCAAGGGAAAAAATATACATTGGAAGTTCCCATCTTTGATAGGTGTAATCCTCTGATACCTTCGCATAAATCAGTACAAGTGTAGAAGAATCCTCGTAAAAAAAAAAATTGTACCGTTGTCAATCTTGTCCATTAACTGATAACATAAAATGACTGGGCGCCCACGAAATAGCATCATTCAGTGATAGCGTTGATTTCCTTAGTCCTAATACTCATTTACCAACTCCATTAGATGTCAGTTGCCACTTCCTCCATTCTACACATAACTAGCACAATGGAACAAAGTGAGTAATACGCAAAGTTATCTATCGTTCAAAGTTAGTCCCTAGATCAATCTATTAATGGGCCAAGTATGATAAATGAATCCTGCTAACTGCCTGACTGTTGTTAACAAGTACATGATGTACATTTCTTGGCAAACTTATCCTACTGTCTTTTTTTTAACCATCAGATGATCGATGATAAATAAAATAAATGGAAGTTCTAAAAACTCAATAAGATATGTGCATGCATGCAACCTTGATTAATTGTTAGCATAGTCATGAGCATTAATTGGCATATGCTACTTTATGGAGTTAGATCAAACAACTGTTAATGCTCTTTCTTGAAACATGCATGCATCAAATAAAAGACATAGCTAGAAACTACCGTATAGGTTTAGTGAATGAAATAAATTCAGTAGTATACCTTATAGTTTACATAGTTCGTAAGGATGAAGATCGTAGCAATCACAAAGATTTGTCTTCGGCCAGTCTGCTGGGCAATCATATTTTATCTTTGACCAAGATATCAGGTCAACACTTTGTTAATGAAGACAAGGAATAACATCAGCATAGATAGTTGCAGCATAAACTTCGGAGCCGTTGTGAGTTCAAGAATTTGCTGCCACCTGTAAGTTCAACCAGTAGATAGCTGCTGGTAAAGCCTGTTATCCATTTTCGTCTCTATTACAATCAGATGTCACTCAAGTACATAGATAACTCATAAAACTAAACTAAGCAAATCAAGCAAACACACTAAAGAAAATATCAATTAAATCCATAATAGGCTGAGCTCTAGGCATGCCGAAACTGTTATCGGTAATCATGCAATTCATACCCAAAGACAAAAACATAATGAACATTTGTCTCTTGTTCCCAGTCCTTTACAACCAAATAGCCATACGTTAAGGCAAAGCATGCTTCATAATTATTTGTTTTACAATCAAGTTACTGTAGTTTCAAAGCATTCTGACTCACTATTCACAACAATAGTGTGTCAGTATTGTCGTCTAGCCCAATCCAATAGCCATAGAATCATCAAATATTTACCACGACAATAAGCAACTGAAATAGTACGGTATAACAAGAACCAAGTTAGCGAATGTGCATACCAATTTCCCTCAAATGAAGAGCTGTTTCCCTCCTTTATTTCTTCCTTCGCAAGTTCTTCAAGTATAGCACGTTGTCGTTCATTGATTGCACTAAAAGAATGAGTAGACCAGAAGTCAGGTGATGCAAATGTAACTTAGTAGAAAGCATACTAGAACCTAGTGTCATGATAATCCAATGAGAAAAGGAAGCACTTAATACAAATACCATTTTTCGTAAGTCACAAAATACATCACACGTAAGCAAATTCGATAAGAATACATCTTCAAAATATATGATGCAATTTTCACACTCATAGTAGCAAACATTGACCAAACAAGCATAAACCGTAATACAATAATTAGTGAAATAGCATTAAAAGGTAGCAAGAGGAAAGCACAAACTACAGTTATCAATTCCAAATAGCAGCACATAGCTGCCATCCTATATAAATCACAATAATGGGATACCATATAGTAAGTAGCCATTACAGCAAAATTAGAGGTTTGAGATGTAAAAAATTAAAATATATAAATTAAAAAAAATGTCAATACCCAATATTAAAGACATGTTCATATTTCAAAACTAGTCAGCAAAAGTTCAGAAATCACCAGTCCACACAAGGAGGCAAAAGAACCGGCGGTTACTTTCCAGCAAGGATAGAGAAGTGTTTGGAGAAATTAGGGTTGACTAGGTAAGGAGGTCTTCCTAGACTACTGATACCACTAGGATTAAGTAATTGTATGTCAAAGACAGTACTTGCACATGTATTTATAATTACAGAATAATGAATGCAATGATACAGTAATAAAGGTAATTAATCAAATCCCAGTATTTAGGAAAGCCGAATTTTGTTTAATGTCAATCACAAACAACTGAAGGGAAATAGGAGAATAGACAATAATGTAATTCATTTTCCACAATACCATAATATCGATCAAAATCCATAAAAAATTGAAATCAAAACAACATTATCATAAATAACACGTTCCTCAAAGACTGAGGTCTTTGAAGTTAAACTAAGACAAGAGTTGAGTGCAAAGAACGCACATGGGAAGGTTAACACGGAACCGTACATATTGATCCCCATGATGTACAAAATACCCATGCTTTGGTAGTCCTGCATCAACAATTATGGTAATTATACTTTTCACGTACGAAGAGCAAAAAGACTAAAATCTTGTCAAAAATTGTCCATGAGAGAGCTTTCATTTAACCTTTGCCTCTTAAAACCAGATGCTGTCCATGTTGAACACCCTTGGGTATCTGAGGGGAACAAAATAGAACAATTGAGACAGGGTCAAAACAAGTAGTCATGCTAACAATAACTCTAGCAAGTTGAAAATCATTATTTGATAATTGGAACAGTATGATAGAAACTGGTTCAGATACAATTGAATGAATGAATTTTATCAAGAACACTCCTCAATTTTTGAAAGGTCCAAATCTCTCCCAATTCCTTTATAAGTTCTCACACAATGAATGATCCTAGTCTCAATCCCTACGTCTACTTATATACTCATAAACTGAATAACCCTTTAACTAACCAACAGACAGACTTGCTTTTCACCCACCAAAAGATATCCATTAAGTATTAAGATTTGGAACATAAATTTGGAATACAACAAAATATAATGAATTTCTTTTGTACGCAGTTATCATTTTGACAAATGAAAATAACAATGGCCACTACACTGAAGCAATGCATGATCGAGCCTTCTGTAACATATCAGGGCTGCTCCACTACCATGCAATTGTGCCTCTTTAGCACGTGAATGACCACCATGGATTTAATTGTGAACACTGTATTGTATATTTGTTAAAATTATTATTGGATTTAAGGTTAGGGGAACGAAAGGAGATAAAAGAGATTGGAATACTGAATTTGTATCTATCAAGTCTTGCTTATACTAATATAATCCCAATTAGTTAGGGAAGCAAATCATATGACAAGATAAGGAAATATAATATTCAACCCTAAAAGATATTGAAGAAATAGAGGAAACGAATCATTGGATATAATCTCAGATATTATGTGATAAGATATTTTCATATATTCTAATGTTCTGGAGGTTTAAAAGGGACTTCTCTCAAGTCATTTACATGAGGGAAACTTTGTTTCAAGAGGGAAAATAGGGGTGTGCTAATCTTATATATAATTGCTAAAAGGTGAAGGCATTCATTGGTAAGTGTTGAATATAGAAGAAATACGACTTGAGATTAATCTCCCTTGTGTATAAACCACACATAGGGTAATTTATTTATAATAAAGAGAAGTATAACTAAAAGAGTAACCGAAAGTAAACAAAATAAACAGAAAATATTGTTTGATATTGTGGTTAACAATATCTAACAATATCAAACAATATCAACAGTAAATAATCTATAATTAACATGCCTTAATCTTGAAATGGGGCAAATTCCACTCCTCTAAACTTTTCATTGCAAAAAACACAACACCATATTGAAAAAAATTCTTCTCTTACTTTTAATTGCATCTTCCCAGATAAAGTAGGCACCTCAACTTTGCCACCAAGAATAGCCTGCAATGTGAAAGCTTTTGTTTTATTAATAACAATGCTACAAACCTAGGTGCACTGTCACTGAGATAATTAAGGTGCAAGAGATGCAATGCGCAAGTGTATTAGAATGGGACCCATTTAAATAATATTTTCTAACAAATGCATAACTGAATTTTTATAATTAAGCATATATAAAATGTGAGATATCTGTTATAGCAAATGTAAAATGTGATATAGCAGCTGTTACAGATTTTTGGTCAATTTGCAGCTAATTTGTGTATGTTATCCTGATGACTTAGAATAAGTTATTGGCTGAAAGTAGGTATAGTTACATATTAAATTGGTATATAATAGCTGCCATTAGCTGTTACATATTATTAGAATAAGTTGAATGATAACTGTCATGTTAACAGTTCATGGAAGAAACTTAAGAGCAGTTACATAAATTTGTGTTATAGAGGATACATGTGCATTGTTTTCTAGCAATTTGGACAGAGCTCTTTTCTGTATGAATCTATGACTCTAGGACAGAAAATTTGGCTGTATTTGGTGTATTCTGTATGAATTAATTGGAGTTATACCAATGTTTAAGTCTTTCCCCTCTTTAATCAGATGGTTAGACATCCAAAACTAATGGAAGCATAGAACATATCTAGTTCTCACCTGTGTAAAGCTAATATTAGACTCAACGTATATATCTGCCCCATCTCTGGTAAAGATTGAATCCTCAGCCACCTATATCAACAAAGAAAGCTGATCTTCACTAAAAATACAAGCATGGGATTTGCCACAGCAAACAAATACACAGTAGAGCAAAATGTTTATTCCTGGTCTTAATTTTTAAACAGTGACGTATAATCAAGCTGGGGACAGAAATACTTTGAAATAGGCAACTGCATTATAAAAATTGCCTTCCATAATTACATGATCAAAGAAAACGAAAAAATTATTTCATGTTGCACTTACCTGACCCTAACTAGACAACTGGTAAATAACCTATGAATCCCTTTTTTTTTTTTTCCTTTTTTGAGGAAATAACCTATGAACCCTTGGAAAGAGTTAAATATTTCTTGAGCAGGCCAAAGAAAAGAAACTTGTACACCGCTTCTGTAAAATTATTTATATCAAGACTTTTCACTGATAACACACCACTAATGGTGTTTAGATTTAATTTATTAAGTAAATTAAAACTTGACAAAAGAATTCTTGTAACAAATTCATCACTTGCATCATGTGTTTATATTTATATAGTAGAATGACAATTAACTATTCACTTTTAGCATCCTGTATCCAAGAGAAAATTTTAGGTTAAATAAAACCATCAAGGAAGCATAACAATTTAATAAAACATAATAACAACTTTGTTAAGTTACTTAACTGATATTACACTGTTCTATTCATGAATACAGCGTCAGAAAAATCAAATTGGTTTTCAAAAGGACTATTGATGGTAATGATTCATTGAAGAACCAAGTTAATGTCACCAGTAACTAGAAGAACAATGTTATATTACATGCTCATTTGGATGACCAGAATGGACATCAACTCTATTATGTACGTTAAAATGAATAAAGTTTTTGCATGTGTGGACACGTTAGAGCATGAATGCTTAAATACGAAAAAAAAAATGAAAATTGTATGAAGCAAACACTTTGGAGTTAAGGAGACCCAGCATTTTACATTAAGTAATGCAGGATTTACACTTTCAAATACAGTTTTGAATTTATAATGAATCAAGTTACAAGAAAAAAAAGTAGTTCAAGGAAGCTAGCCTGGATTTTTTACTAGAATTGATATTTTCTTTAATAACTTTTCAGGCTATTTAGGGAGGCACCGGCCCCAGCTTGCCAAAATTCCCCTCTGCCACATTATGGATCTAATGTGTCTATATAGGCTTGTTAATTTTTAACTTGAGTAGAACTATTTTTGGACTGTTGAAGGTAATTAGGATGTGTTCCCAAATGAATCTGTCATAGATTTTATAATGAAATGTCACATTAAGGAGGAATTGATTGCAGGTGCTTCCCAAACAAGCACTATTTTGCTCCAAAATGCTAAATTTGGTCAAAACCACAATTTCAAAGGAAAGCAGATAGCACATTGTGAGATCTACAGTGGATATTCGGACAGAAAATTGCCTTTATTTTAATGTATAAACTTCCAGGTCGACCTCCACTTCCAGCAGCATTCCCACCTTCTGGCACATGGATTGTATCTCCCGAATCCACACCTACCAAATCATGGAAAACTATGATAAGAAAAGGGAAGGGGGGATTCTTCTTCGAATAAAATATAGAAGAGTAGCAGAAGGTAAACCTAGGCAAGGCAGGTCTGCAGCATGGTTAAAACGTTCCATGTATAAAATACTCTTGTATAACAATTAACACCTTAAAAAAGACCAAAGGCTATACTCGAACAAAAAGATAAGACATGGGTTGAAATTATAATCTGTAAGTAAAGAATTTCCGATGTCAACAAGAAGCTATTACAACAACAACCAAGTTGTATTCCACTATGTTCAGTTACATTGAATCGGTTTAACCAACATTCAGCTTCAGGTAACTTTGTCACAAGTATCAAGAACCAACCTGCTGGTATGGTAACTTTAACGTCTTTAACTCCTTCATCCACTCCAGATCCTCTACATTTAATACAAATTTCCTGTACCAATTAGATAGAGAAAATACAAAGTTATTAAAAATCATGGCACAAAAATAGATAACCAACAATTCAAGACTGACATGGCCTTTCTGAAATACCTTAATTATTCGGCCAGATCCTTTACAAGTTATGCATGTTGATGTAAATGGGGGAATTGTAACCTGGCACAATACATCCCAACCAAGATTAAAATAATAGAGTAAGTAATAACTGATAACTCTAATGCCACAAAAATAATTGACTCATGTTTGGTTAAAAATAATAGAACATTGTTTTTTAAGACACTTACTCGACCTAAGCCCCTGCATGTTGGACAAACTTTTGCCATGGCATCAAGAGGATAACCCTGCCCATCTGGATTAATACAGTAAAAGTCTTTGGCATCAAATTGGGCTATCATTATAAGCACAAGATTATGTGCTAAACTTCTTTTGTAATCAAAATTTATTTGTATTAAAACAATATTTTGCGATTTCCTAAACCAATAATAGCAAATGGAAAAATAAACAGGGCTTTCCTAAGTCCCAAAATATATTGACTTTACTCACTGCAATAATCGCAGGGAACTAATGCATCAAATGACACATGCTTGGTGCATCCTCTTGCTGCTTCTGAGAAAGTAAGAGACAACTCCACCTATCAGCATAGCATTAAGCAAATGTAAGTTTGGAAAAATAGGAATATATTTCAAACAGAGAAACAAAAATTAAGCTAACCTCTATATTTGATGAGAATTGAGTTTTCGCTTCTTCAAATATCTGTTAGATCAAGAAAATTATGAAATTTCCTCTTCTACTTCTGAGAAATGAATCCAAAAAAATAAAGAATGTGTGTGCTCGAGTATATATATATATGAGAGAGAGAGAGAGAGAGAGAGAGAGAGAGAAAGAGAGACAAGGAGGGAACCAACTAAGAGAATACAATCAAGCTAAGAAGAACTGATCTTGACCATTTAATCTTACAGGGACGGTCAATAATAAATCAAGTATAACCAATTTTGACTATTCATGTTTCGTCACATGACCAAGTTAATATATATTCAATCAATTAATTTATTAATTAATAAAAGAAAACAGTATATATGGGAGCAAAAGATTTACCTCAGAGAATACTTTATGAAATGAATCCGAAAAATGAGAGCGATAAGCATTTCTAAACCTTTCTGCATTGTCCTGACCATATTCCATATTTTCTGAACCACGAGTATGCATCTTCAATTGAAATAGCGGTTCATTGGAGAAAATGATGTAAAAATGTTAGTTAATTCAACATCATAAATAAGAGTTAAAAAAATTTTTGAACACCCTAAACGAACTGAAGCTCCAAAATCTTTTAACAGTAACTAATATATCAATTGAAATTTCAAAGTATATAAAAAAAAAACTACCTCATCATACCGTGCTCTCTTTTTAGAATCTCTCAATGTCTGAAATTAGATAGCAAAACAGCAAGTAAAAATATCAAAGTTAACTAATTAGTTTAGACCATAAACAACATAACCAGAAGAAAAACATGTCTGAAAATGCAATAGAAAAGATTAAACTTCCATAAAATGATAATAAAGACCTCATATGCTTCTCTTATATCTTGAAATTTCCTCTTGGCAGATGGATTGCTCTTATTTGCATCTGGATGGTACTTCTTAGCAAGCTGCACGATACATAAAAGTGTGGCATGGTATTAGCTGAAAGAATTTGGACTATTGTTGCCAAAACAGTGTGATGATGTCAAGATTGAAAACTGAAATGATCACATATAGAATTTTTAGTACGCACTAAGCTCCAAAAACAGTTGTGATAGATTAAATTGTAGAACAAAAAGATATCACAAGTTATACCCTTTTGAGAATATAGTGGAAAATTGTTAAGCCTTCACGTATTAGGTTTTCTGACTTTGTTAATTTCTTTCCAGATGGAAGAAAAATTCATTAAGATGAAAAGAATGCAGTTCCAGTGATGTTGGGGGATAAGGGATATCAAGGAAAAAACAGAAAAACAAAACATCATATTCTATTATAGAACAAAGCTATCCAATTCCCCAGTGCGCACACATTAGGGAAAATAAAAAAAAGACCATGTGACAGCAAACTAGCAACCATCCTGCACATTGCACAGGTGTTTGTAATACATCTACATGTTAAACACGAAAAAAATATAGATTTAAAAGGGGAAAAAGTATGTTTTCATCTCCCTACTTTTCTTCAAACTTGGCTTTGTTCCTTGTATCAAATTGATAAATTCAATCTTCCAACTTTAGAAAATATGTGATTTTAGTATTTCTTTATACCTAGATTTAACATTTAGTAATGGTTTTTACTGTCACAAAGTTGATAGAAAGACTAAATTCACATAATATGTGATTTTAGTCCTTTTTTATTCCAAAATTAACACTTAGTAACAATTTTATATCGTCATTAAAGTTGATAAAAAGGCCTACATATTTTTTTGACGTTTGAAGAATAATTAATTAAATAAGTACAGGAACCAAAACCAAGTTTAACGAAAAGTGCAGAGATCAAAAATATATTTAACCCTTTAAAATATATTAAAGATAAGTTATTTCACTTGTTAATGAAAAATATATAAATTAAAATACAAAATACATTAAAAGAAATAATTTTGTCCAACACTAGTTTAATTACAAAAATTATAATTTTAGTAAAGATGATGAATAAAAATGAGAATTGCTTTAATTTCTTTTTCCATTCACAGAAATTTTTTCCTCTCCTAAATCAGACAAAAATGAAGTAGAAACTACAGAGAAAATGTAGTGCTCCACAAAATCAGCTTTATTTCACAAGAAGATATTAGTTGCATAGTTCACACAATATAACTAGGCTTGGTTGAAATCCAATTCTTAGGGATGTAATTCATCATGAAATCCCTTTTAAAATTTCCTCCAGTGTCATTCTCAGCCTCCCGCTATCCCTTTTCATAAAGGTAAAAACCATGAGATCCAATCTCAGCAACAGTGGCTGCCTTTGCACATATCCAAACGATCTTAACTGATTTTATTGCACCTTTTCCTCAATCATTGTCACACCAAGTCACCACCGATTTTATGTCAGCACCACTCTCAACAATACTAAAAAAACTTCTCTATTAGCTTGGTAGGTGCATTCTGGTAACAAACAACTTCAAATGTTTTCTCCTTTGTGTAACATCTTCACTAATTTCCCAATCATTTTGTAATATTGATCTCTGTTGCGGTTTGACAACTCCAATTTTACCTTCTAGTCATTTTCCTCTTGTTTCTATTTGCTAAAATTGCATATTTTGTGTACCACTCCTACTCTTTGTTTGTGATGTCGATCTCCAAAACCCAAGTTTATAGTTAACATCTACTTTGTTCCTCAATCAAAACTATATCATCCATAGAAAACATGATTTAAGGATAGTTTTTATGCCTCTGGTAAGCAAATCAAAGACTAAACTAAACATGAGTCCTAATGTAAACCTATAATTGTAAGAAAGTTCTCAGTCTTTCCTGTTAGGATCGAGCGCTTACCACTAGGCCAAAAGCTATAGCCATTAGTCAGAGCGCAACTCTTTTTACTTTAACAGCCCAAGCGCCACGATTCAATTGTGACTCGGCCCACCTGACCTTCGTCACAGGACAATTGATGCTACCTGCAACAATCTCCCCCTCAGCAATTGTCCTACAAGGTATCCCACTCTTGGATTGTGACTTGGCCCACCCGGCCTCTGCCACGGGACAATTGTGCAACCTGCAACAATCTCCCCCTCAACAATTGCCCACCAGGAATCGAACTCGTGACCTTGGCTCTGATACCAATTGTTAGGATCGAGCGCTTACCACTAGGCCAAAAGCTATAGCCATTAGTCAGAGCGCAACTCTTTTTACTTTAAGAGCCCAAGCGCCACGATTCAATTGTGACTCGGCCCACCTGACCTTCGTCACAGGACAATTGATGCTACCTGCAACATTTCCTTCAGGAGTTCTTAAACAAGAAACTCATTCTCTCTACATGTCTTTTATAGATCAGAGACAAGTATATGAACAGTTAAACCTGGTTTAGTAACTATATGATTTCCTAATATTTATAGCTAAACATGGTTTGATAACATTAATTTGACATTGCTGTCACTCGTACCAGGTACAAAGCAGTTGAAATGAAATTTCATCTCTCCTACTAAAAGTGTTCAGATGAAAATTGAATCATCCCCATTGCCCAAACAAAACATGGCAATCTACCAATAGACTTCACCATCACTCTACCTAACCTAACAAGCGTAGATTTGATCAATCAATATATGTGTCCTAAGCCAAACAAAATCAAGAGATTCCTAATACTCACGCACCAAGTGAAATGCCTTCTTTATCTCGTCCTGACTGGCATTTTCAGGAACACCGAGAACTCGGTAGTAGTCACGGTTGGCCGAAGAAGACAATGCTGGAACAATACAAGCAGGAAAGGGGATCCAAATGAAAACCTCAAATGTGTAAGACATCACTAATCACTAATATAAATAAAAACAACGTGATTTGTGTTCGAGTCAAAAAAACCTGTGGCATGAAAATGACGATATCCAAACAGTATTCTCGGAATCAGAGACTCCTCCGTTGTCGTGACGAAACCGCAACTGACCAAAGCTGATACACAGAACATTTGATTCCGTTAAATATATATATATATATATATATATATATATATATATATATATATATATCAAAAATCTGAAAATAATGATTATGCAAAAAACAAGAGAAATTCGAAACGTGCATCGGGCAAGCAGGCGAGACGACAAGAACTTGCTGAATGAGGATTCTCCTTTACCCACGAGAGATTCTGAGGTCACAGACGAAAGCAATTGGCGCCGATACTGCATTGGAAGAATGATAGTGTGAACGATGCCAGAGAAAAAGTAACCGTGATTTTGAATAGTTCAGGGATTTTTCGTTCGTCTGCTTACCGGCGTAAACCATGTGAACCTTCTCATTCGCGTCAAAGGCTTGTGGATACAGTGATATAGCTGCGCAATAGGGAGGGAAGAAGGGTGTGAGGCCGTAATTCTGCTTAAAAGAGCTTCGGAACAGCGATGAAGTGTTTTCGGCGACTAAGTAATAGATTCCGGTGGCGGTGCTGGTGCTTGCTCACAGATCTTTGGGCCTCGGGGTTTAACGTACAGGGTTTAGGTTCGGGCTTAACATTAAGGTACTGATGTAATGGGGGTCGTTTCAGTGGCAAACTAGTAGTCGCTTCACGAACTTCTTCTTTTTTTCTTCAACAAAGGTTAAATTACTGATTATAATTATGATTTTGAATTTATTTTTATAATTAAAATTCATAATAAATAAATATATTTTTAATTTATTGTTTATAATTAAAATTAATGATAAATAAATATATTTTGATTTTATTTTTATAATTAAAAATCATAATAAATAAATATTTCTGAAAACATATAAGTTAATTTTTTTTCCCTTTTCAATTTATACTCCTTTTTGAGAATCTACACAAATGTGTTAATTGTTTTAAGAATATTATTGACACCTTTTATATATTACACTAAATTCTCCAAATATTTAGAAAAATATTATAATTGTCGTACAAGTCAAACAAATAAGATCATTTCGTGCAATTCAAAAACAATATCACGGATTGTTGATGTGATTTATTTTATACATTATAAATTTGTAATGAGTAATTATTTTGGATGATTACTGTATTGATGTACCTATCTGATTATTAATGACTAATTTTCGTTGGAAAAAGTAGACCTCCTTTTTGTGACAGGGAAACGACATTATTTAGCTTCATTGCTACTAACGGTGGATCCAATGATATTCTAACTGAGTAAATTTTAAAGTTACAGTAAAAGTTTAAAACTTATTTATCATATTTATAAATGTTACAAGAGAGTAACTGAATTACAAGTAAGCATTGCAATACATAAGAAAATATAACAATATATATAGACAAACTGATACAAAAACATAAGTAACATTTGCCCTCCCTTCCGAGGGCTGAATGAATCTTAAACAAAGGTTGAAAAGAAGCCGAAATTTTCTCACGCTGTTGTCACAAGAAATATACAAGACAAAGAAGAACTATTCTGTTTTCATAAACAACCCTTTATTCTTTTTTAACTTAAAAAAAAAATAGTAAAATGCAAGGTGTCAGATTTCTGACCATTGTCGTCATGCCAATCTAGAAAGTAGCTTGACTTCGAAGAGCATTAAAAATTGTTCAGTCTTTTTGTTTGGAGAACTTTTCCACTAATTTAAGCTTTAATACAGTAAGAGATTACAACACGAGCTACAAAAGGGCCCTAAAATTCCCAGGCTACTTCAAAGATGACAATGCAGATGCAACATTTCGAGAAATTCGATCATGTATAGGCTCCTGCAAGAAAAAAAGTTGTATTAGTGTCGATTGAATTAGATTGTATAACTTAGAAAATAGACATTTAAGAATTACCTCGGTCGATGGCAACTCAAACTTTGATTTTGTTATAGTCTCGTACAAGAAAATATATCTGTCCAGCAGAATAGTAAGATGTTCATTTAAATAAATAAGATGAAAACAGTATCCAAATCAAGCACAGGTTGATTTCCAGAAGTAGATCTATATAAACAGGAATAAATAGGATACACATGTAATGAAAGTAGGACACAAAAAGTTGATGTTCACTATATTCATTTTAATGCATACTAGCAAGGAAAAATCAGAAAATTTCTTAAACAATTGAATGTTTTTCCTTTATCACCAAACGCGACAAAATGTGGTGTCGAGTGTCGAAAGAGGGGAGGAACTCCAACTTATGCTCTAGTATAACATTTAAACAAATAAACGTAACATCTAATAAATTATTCAGAATGAAATAGGTTGTAAGCTAAAAAAGTTGGAAGAGAAACCTTTCATGTAACTGAAAAAAACTAACATAAAACCAGCAGTTTACAGAAAGTATCCATAGGGGCATCAACGACTAGTGCTTTTGGCATGAAAAAGCTTAGGTAACTCATAAATGTTAAGCATAAGCATGTTCAAATAAACAAGAAAAAACGGACAGGAAATGACGGATTTTCTTCTTGATGGTTTTATTCATTTCTTCATTATTGACCGTCCCTTATCCTCTTCTTTAATTTAAGGAAAAAATAGAAAAGAAAAGAGGACAATACACAGCACAATTCTTCCATTCAAATTTGTACATTAGGATTAAACATAACACAGTCACAGATCTGGCAATAGAATCTTTGTCATGGTCTTACAAAGAAAAATCAGAGCATAACTACGTAATTTTAATTAGTAATAATAAGTCTGATATTATATATATATATATATATATATATATATATATATATATATATATATATATATATATACAAATACTATTCAGGTTTATTTCTAGAAATAAGCTTCAACGCAAAATATATCAAGTGTAAAAGAAACTTGTGCCAGTAGACATACCGCCAGGATAACTCACAAACAAGATCTTCAGGAGCATCAGGAAGGACCTAAATAAAATTCACCAGTGTGATGTGATGCATCTTTACAGCTTACAAGTTTATCCATTAGCAGTATAAAATGTAAATACCTCATCTTCATATGGGTTGCAGTGACTTTTAAACCACAGCCTCAAGAACTCCTAAAAATTGGATTCTTAAAAATTAGAGAATTGCTGACTGGTCTATATTTCATACAAAAAAAGGTTAACAGATGGAAGCCAATGCATCCAGTAAATACATGTTTGGTTTAGCTTATTTGGATTCTTGAGAAAGCTTGAAAATAAGCAAATATTTTCCTAAAAATAATCTACACCAAACACGCATTAAATCTATACACTCGAAAGAAAAATAATACACTTGAGGAAAAAAACAAAAAAGTTAATACACAAAATACCTTGTCAATATTTTCAGGCTCAAGACCATTTTGAATGCGCTCCGGGTAAGAATTGGCAATCCAATATCTACTTGAATCAGGAGTATGGACCTGGCATTTGGAAAGAGAACTTTATCAGATTTGTATGCTTAATATGTGAGTGCATGTGCAAATTCAATACGCTATAGCCATCAGGGATATTGTACCTCATCAATCAACATAATTGAACCATCATTTGCCTTCCCAAACTCATACTTAGTGTCTACCAATATGAGGCCATGCTGTGAAGCCACTTGCTGCGAAGTCAATCAAATGGAAAAGTGAAACGGAAGCAGGGGGAAAAATGACATAGCAGCAGTAAAAATATAGATTGTGCACCCAGGATTAAGAAACCAATCAATGGATCGATCACCTCTATTCCTAGGGAGGTTACCAACTAAATTTTAAGAGAAAACAAGGCTCCTTGAATGAATAGATCATATAATCAAGATCTGGTCACTAGTCAGTGATGATTTACACAAATCTCCAACCCTTACTGTGGAAAAGTGAAATTTATATGCAAGAGATGAGATGGGTAAAATTACACGGAAGTTGTTTGAGTGAGCTACAGCTCTTGAAGTCGCAAACTTATCACTAGAACAGCATTTCTTAAATATGCAGATGATGAAAATGACTGAATTGATATTAGTTCTTTAGGATGTGTGATGATGACTGACGACAGTGGTTGAGTAATGTATTTACATGACATCACGATAACAGATAGTTTGCAGCAAGTTGCATCATACTTGGGCAAATTTTGAATTGACAACTTGCATTAGACATATATTTTATTTTGTACAGCAAAGATCCTTCATTAAAGGATGAATACAAGTAGTATAATGTCAATTTAATAATCATTTACATAGACACATTTTCCATGCTTATACAAAGTTTGAGAACAAAGCCTTCTACTTTATAATTAAGGAATGACGATCATGTTCCTAACTTCTTTTTCAACTCTACCATCCATGGCAGAGACAAAAATGAGAGAACATAGAACAGACCAAGCTAACTATTCAAATTAACACTGCATAGTGCATACACCGTATTCTATAATTTCAAGAATGGTGAATCCAGTACCTTGCCGCTTCCTAAAGATCTAAAGAGGTTTGAGAAAGCAATAGAATAATGGACTCTCCTTTTACCTTTTTACTTTTTAAAATAAAACAGAACCTTTTTGATATTATGGTCCTTTCATGTAGAATATTATATAACATTCATACACTATGGATTAGAATTATAGAAAAAAAAAAAAAAAAGGATTCTATTAACAGAAAAGAGTACAAATGATTCCCACCCAGGACTTTCAAGAGGTTTGGAATCTCCCGCAACAATATCCTCTTCACAATTTACAAGATATCCCTGCATCTCAACCATTTTTCTTATTTATAGGCAAAATGTAATCTTCTAATTATCTAACAACCAATTATATGAAAAACAAAATAAAAATAAATTTCTGAAGAATAAGACTTGGTATTTGAACCACCCAATATCATTATCAAAGGTGTATCATGGAACTCTCTTCCAGAGAACAACAATTTTTACATTACACATACTGATTCCTAAAAGTATGACCCTAGCTATAGAACAGATATCATCAAAAAATTAAATCATAATACTTTTGTCTTCTTTTTTTCTCTTTTTTTAGTATGTATTGCTAACATATTATTCTTTTAACCCAAATAAAAAATAATATCAGTCATATATTTTATAACACAATTTAAAAGTTGTTTCTTCTTCTGTGCAAAAAAATGTCATATTTTACAAGTGTGATTTTATTGGATAATAAGAAGGTACTTCTTTGTGTCCTTTATTTCCCAAATTAAAAATGACTTAACCAGCGTAGCTTATTACCTGTCCATATTCAAACAAGGATAATGCTTTTTCACTCACTTCGTCATAATCAGCTTGAGTCATAAGTCCTCTTTCTATAATCTGAAAGGGAAATGCATCACGAAAGAAGTTAAAAAACAATGTTATGAAAAGATAATCATTTTGGTGGAACTTCAACATCACACCTTAGTAACTCCAAGAACAAGAATATTCTATTAATAAAATCATAGGAATATCTTAGGCTTTTCTTCATGCTTCCTTTTTACTAAGGAAGTAGGTTCTACTCCACCTTTAACAAGAAAATCTATAATCATAATTTTGTTTATTTCTTCACCGATCTTGGATGATGTTTTCACAGAAATAAGGACATAAAAATTGCAATATAAAGCAAACTGGAAAGAAAACAGCATTGATGATTTAACACAATCATCCTTTTTTTATATGGAGGCCAGGACTAATTGATAACGCAAGACAATATTATAACAGAGTCATCCTTTGCTGTAACTTCAACCATAGTGAAAATGCTGGTTGCAAGTGATAAAACTAGGCATCATACCTCATCTGGAGTGACAGGAACATCATGATCTGCAGCCTTGGTTGTTGGAGTGAGTATATTTTCAAACAACTTCTGATTTTTTACCATTCCTGTCATGTGTTAATGTCCTATTAAATATAGGGACAAATGCATTCTAAGAATGAGACATAAAATGAGAAATCCCACCATCTGGGAGGACATTTCCACAATAATTCCGAACACCGTTATTGTAGACTGTCCATAGAGATGTATCAGTACTTCCAGTGACAAATCCTCTTGCTACAAGTCAGTAACATACGAGTCAACAGGTGGTTGTTAGAATCTTAACCTTCCTTTTTTAAAAGATTTAAATATTATACATCTAGTCACAATACAATAAAATTAAATTTCAAGAAGAATAAAAGGCACAAGACAATATGTGGGTCTTCAGCCAAAACCCAAAAGAAATTTGGATAATCATGTATGGGAACTGCAATCATTTTATCTCAATTACTCAAGTAAAATTTATGGATACTCTTCCAAATTTCAAAATAATTAAACAAAATGCTTGCCAAGAATATATTCACAATATCTATTATTTTCCCAAATAAGCTTTCTTAGCAAATGCACTCCTCTTCCTTATCCTACATTAAAAAATATATCCTTTGCAGAAAAAGCTACTGTTTAAGTGACTCCAGTGTAATATGCCAATTAATCAACAATCATAGCAGTTATCAAAGCATTTAATCAGATGTGAAAGTAATAATTAACCTGAAAAGCCCAACCATTTTTGTTATTTTCACCACTCACCAACAAATTCAACAGGGAAAACTGAACATTTCTTAGCTATTGTAACATTTTTATCTGGAGCCGATACAACTGCATTAGAAACTATCTGTTTAGTTTTTTCAAACCACCACAAACTTGTCTGATTGAGAACCTGCAATTGAGAGGGAAAATGATCAGATTATTGAAGTCAAAGTGTTCAGTAACCACCACTCCACCAGCTAAAACTATTTTTCCACGCATCCTCTTATTCATCTACAACTTTTCCACGCATCCTCTTATTCTTAGCTAATGTTTTCAAATTTACCGCCCGTGATCGTAGACAATATAAAATAAAATAGCATTTTATCTAATCATTGCGGTATCCCAATTCCCATTAGAAAAGAAAATTCGAAACCATTCAAGACCCGACTTAGTCACAGACCTGGCCTTTGAAAGGAATGGAAGCAAGAATCCTATCAAACGCACTCTGCCGATCAGTTGTCACCAAAACGAGGTAATCCCCAGCATCGTAAATATCTCGAACCTGCCAACACATAACAAAATTTATCAATGCAAACGACACATAACAACGAATAAATAAATAAATAAAGGTTTCAAAGATGGCACACTTTGCCCCGGGTTTTGGACACGAGACCGGGAACGGTGTTATGGAGGTTACTTTCGGAGAGGCAGTTAGAGAGTGCGCTTCCTCTGATAACATCAACGATGTCGTTTCTGCGCGGACTGTTCACGAGTGCGTCTCCCAGAGACGGTTGTTGCTGACCTTCTCTCGGCATCACCGAGGCGCGGATTGCTCGAAATCCGTGTGGTTTGAAGGGGAGTGTGGTTACGCGCCGCTGCACCGCCGCGGAATTGCGATTGACGGGTGGTAGAATCTCGGCACCGAAGGTTTTGGGAGGGTTTAACGCAACCGTAAAATCGCCCATTCCTAACTGAAACTGAAGCTGCTTCTCTTACTCTGTGTTGACTGTAATTGCGTTGCGATTTGCCAAGGGTTAAAAAACAACTTGACTTATCATGCAATTGAATGGTGAAATGATCTGCAATATAGTAATATAATAATAATAATAATAATAATAATAATAATAATAATACAGCTAAACGCAACTAACATGGACGGTAAAAATTATGAGACAGAGAATAAAATTATAACATACAAATCAAAGCAACAAGAGAATAATTGAACAATATTAAAATAATAAAAGGATATGTCATTTGTTATTTTCTATAGGAAACAAAATCAAATATTGAATCATATTATTTTAAGAGGTACTTCAAACGATTATTTTTAATTTTTTTCTATAATATTATTTTGAAAAAGTTTCTTACCATCTTGTCTCTAACAATGTAAATAATTGTTTGTAATATGATTTTATTTTAAAATAAATTATGAATATTTAGATATTTAATCATGAAATTTTATTATCATTATTATGATTATGCGATTTTATTAATTATTATGATGATAATAATAATATCAAAATAATAATATTAATTTTCACTATAGATACAAGTTTGCATTTTACGTTAATTTGTAAGTTCATCAATAAGCAAAATGTCCGTACTCGTACACTTCTTAAGGACAAATGAAAGCAAAGTGTTTTTTGTAACGAATCAAATTTACATTATATTTTATAGTAATTGTTATGAATGAAAATTAAACGCATTTAAATCATAATCATAATGTATAATTATATATATATATATATATATATATATATATATATATATATGTAGGAACTATTATCCATAAATATGAAAAATGATTATAACATAAAATAGAAGCTCGTCGGCTAATAACAATCTACGGTTTAAGTAAAGAAAATAATGAATAAAAAAGTAAATATAAATATTAAAATAATGAACCAGATTAATATAAGCCTTTATAATTTTATATTTTGATTAAATGGTATAATCATATAAAATCTTATGATGTTAAAATTGAATAATATGCTGGAGCTATGATAATGGTTTAGTTGTCATGTTTTATTTTTAAGTAATTATTAATTGATATGTTAATAATAATTTATTTATAAGATAGACAAGTTGTATTTAAAATATATAAGATGAAAGTATACAAGTCTTTTAAATCGACAATTTTGACAGAGTTGAAATAATTTTAAATAACCTTTTTAGTGATTGATTTGTTTAATATAACTCAGTGTAATGCTTAACCTTTAAGTAATTTAGTATTATATTAATTATATTACGTGGAAAGATTGAAGTTTTATCGAAGTTCGTATAATAATGATCCAGTATATTATTTATGAAAATTCATTAGTGAAATAACATTGAATATTTTTAAAAGGAATTTTGATGAATCTTGAAATGGTAAGTTATTGAGTGTTTAATATTTTATTTTTCAATGATTGTCTTAAGATGTTATCTCTAGTTAAAAATATTAAATTCTTTTAATGGAAAAAAATTATCCAACTAGTTAAAAATAATAATAATAATTTTTTTATTAATTTATGTAATTGAACCTTAAATTATATATATTAGAAATAATAAAGGAAGTATTTTATAATTCAGTTACTATTAATAAATTATTGGGTTATCACATAAAGGTTATATTATATATAACAACTAAGTAATCTTCTGTTTTAAATTTAGCATAATATTGACGGTAACAAATGTCCTTAAAGATAATAATTTCATCCTAAGAATAGAACTTCTGAAAACCTATATTTACATATGCATCATAATATATATTTTATTTTATATTCTTCTTATTTTCTTACTTATTTGAGTGAAACATCTTTGACATGAATCTTCATTTGATTTCTATGAATACCTTATTCCTTGTCATATTTATAGTTTGACTTACAAAATATATATTTTTACCTAATCAATAACTTTTTTAGAAATGTTACATTAAAATAAATAAATAAATATGATGATAATAATAAAATTATCTGTCGCAAACCACTTAACCATTTCGTTAAGTCTAACCTTAATATTGTTAATTAAAATGAGCCCTAATCCTTGAATTATCCACATAAGGACTTGTTTAAGCTTTCCAAACATGTATTTTGTTTTAACAAAATAATGCATCACACTGACTAACCCAACGACCTCCATTCCAAATTTTTATTCAAGCAGGTAATCTTATCTTTTTTCTAAATGTAACAATTTAACTATTTTTTTAATACGTAAATGAGTAAGTGGTGCTTGTAAACACTTTTTTTTTAATACTAAAATCATAACTTCATTTTTTATGTTTTTATTTTAATATTATTATTTATTATACTATCAATTTATACATATATATATATATAAGTTAATTATTATAAATAATATTTATTATTTTATTATTACTATTAATCATTTAATTATTTATTTATTATTACTATTACTATTAATTTATTACTTATTAAATTATTTTTTGGTAATAATATTAAAATAATAATATAGAAAAATAAAAGAAAGCCGTAAACCTAAACAAAAATAAGTAAACTAAAAGAAACAAAATTAAAATTACAAACATTTTAAAAAATCTTTTTTTATTGAAAGTAATTTAAATTAAAAAAAATGTACTTAAATATACATTTTTTTATATAAATATTTTTTTCAAACACGATATATCGTTTTTAAACTATTTATTAAATCGGTTTAAAAATATTTGGTGCTTTTGTCATTGAAGTTGACTAGGTTTGACTTGGGTCATTAAATTCCATCGCCATCGTTAACCGAATCAGCACGGGCCCAGTTGAACAAGCACAAGGGGCCCATTCGTTAAAACACGTGTCGAATGACAATCTTATCCGTCGGTCCAATAAACAAATAAAGTAAACAAAAAAGGAAACACCACGTCACGTAACCTTAATCTCGCCCGCACCTCCAAGCGCTGACTCGTGCCGCCAAAATAATCAACGACCAAAACGAGACCCCCACTGTTTCCTTATCGTGGTAAACCATACACCAGAACAGCACGAAGAATATCCTCCTATATATAATAAACCAAACCCCGTTCTAAGCAAAATGATAGTGTGAGAGTGAGAAGACTCGTTGACTGAAGGACAAACAAACACCGTCTTTCTTTCGCTTTTCTCGCGTGTCGTACGGTAACGTAGCCACACTCACTCACTGCTTCACTCATTCACGCAGTTTCCCCCAATCTCCGATCCCTCAATTATAGGGTTTCACCTTCGATTTCTCGTTCTCTCTCTCGATCGCATCGGATAATCTGTATATTTGTTCTGATACCTGTTTTTTTTGCCGGGTAACAGGATCGTACACTTTCTGCTAATGCGATCACCGAATGAAATGAAAAAGAAACGAAAAGAAAGCGAGGCCAACGAGCGGTCGAACCTGCCGGAGATTTTGAAGTCGCATTACTCGCTGGAGCGTGGTTCGAGGCTTAACAAACGGTGCAGGGAAGACGGCCTGGCCACGATTCCCACTCGCGGCGCGTCGTTACTTTTGACGCCGGCACGGGGACTGAAGCGGAAGATAGGGTGCATTGACAACGCCACGCAGATGGGGAGGAGCGTGAGGATCGAGGACGATTACTTGACGGGGGGGAGCACGATCGGGCAGGGGAAGTTCGGGTCGGTGACGGTGTGCCGCGCACGTGCGGGGGGTGCCGTGTACGCTTGCAAGACGCTGAGAAAGGGGGAGGAGACGGTGCATCGCGAGGTGGAGATAATGCAGCACGTGTCGGGGCACCCAGGGGTCGTGACTCTGAAAGCGGTGTATGAGGATGCGGAGTGTTGGCACCTTGTCATGGAGTTGTGCTCTGGGGGGAGATTGGTTGATAAGATGAAGGAGGGCCCGTGTTCGGAACTCGTGGCGGCTGGGATACTGAAGGAGGTGATGATGGTGGTTAAGTATTGTCATGATATGGGCGTGGTACATAGGGATATTAAGCCTGAGAATGTTTTGCTTACTGGAACTGGGAAGATCAAGCTCGCTGATTTCGGCCTCGCCATCAGGATTTCTGAGGGTAAGTTGATATGTGAAAGTTGTCGTTTGGATGATCCTTTTGGTTAGAGTAGGTTTAAATCAAGGTCTTAGAGTTTGGGTTGCAGTCATTGTTTTAAGTTGTGATCAAGGTTTTGTGATAGTTGACATTGCAGGATAAATGTCGCCGCAACCATGATTGTGGTTAACAACTGCGGTTTTATCGTGATCTTGAAATTACGAGAAATTGCATAGAAATGAGGCTAGAACTGTGGCTGTGGTTGCAGATTGCTGTTTTGTGACAAATGTGGATGTTTTTGCAGATTGCAATTTTGTTTCAATCCTTGACATTGTTGGAAATTGCTAGCAACTACCACTGCTATTGTGGTTTCAATCTTAAATTGGGGTTTCGTGGTGATCCTTGACAATGGTAGTATATGAACAAATGCGGCCACAGCTGTGGTTGCGGTTTCTGATTGCAATTTTGTTGCGATCCTTGACATTGCTCAAAATTGGGAGCAACGGCCACCACAATTGTTATTGCAGTCTTAGATTCTGGTTTCATCGAGATCCTTAACATTCTAGTACATGAGGGACACATGCGGCTGCAATTGTAGTTGCTTTTTGTGCTCCTTGACATTAGTCAAAATTGTGAGCAACTTGAGCAAGAAGTTGTAGAATCAAATACACTAACGAGTACATGTTTAGTTTGATGTTTGGAGTCTCATATCCATGTTTCAGATATTAAAAATATAAGTTTTTCAAAGTAACTTCAACTTGGATGTGGATTATGAATCCACATTTGACTTGATTTGACCCGAAACCTAACATGCACTAAAACATACATGATGCATATCCCACCAGATATAATAATAATAAGCCAATTGCTTCATTGATCTTTTCAAATGCTTAAAAATTAAAAACAAGTACAAGAAATGTGAGAATCAAACACGCTAATAATTAACTCATCTACCTTTTCTCTTGAGTGACATTTTCATTTGAAGAGTTCCTGACTCGATAAAATATATTTTAATATAAAGTGAATTTTCTATAGAATCAATGTTGATATCATCACTTGAGAATGACATGATTGGTATCTTATTCTGGGTTTTTTGGACGTGTGCTCAAACACACACTTATTGATACCTTGCCTCATTGTTTGTGAATTTGAATTGCAGGTCAGAATTTGACAGGTGTGGCTGGGAGCCCTGCATATGTTGCACCAGAAGTGTTGTTGGGTAGATATTCTGAGAAGGTGGATATATGGAGTTCCGGGGTGCTCCTTCATGCTTTGTTGGTTGGTGTCCTTCCATTTAAAGGAGATTCACAGAAGGCAGTTTTTGAGGAAATTAAAAATGTCAAACTAGATTTCCAAACGGGGGTGTGGGAATCCATATCTAAACCTGCACGAGATCTTGTTGGGAAAATGCTGACCAGGGATGTTTCAGCAAGGATAACAGCTGATGAAGTACTAAGTAAGTTTATGATAGATATACTATTGAGTTCTCCTGCTTTATCTTTTTCCCTCGCTGATGAACACACCAAATATTTTATTCAATTTGATTTTTGTTATTTTAGTCTTGAAATAATTAACATTAGATAATATTTCCCGGTTTTGTTGAAACTATCTGTCTCTCTCGCAGATTCTTATTAATGAGAGTGGTTGCCTTGTTTTAACAAGCTGTGCTGGTCCGTGACTTATACATTTTGTAATGTTTGTTAGAGGGTCAGTGTTTTTTTTTTTTCTTGTTTGGGATAACAGTCAGAATCTGCCAATTTTTACATAATCTTGTATGTGGATAAAGTCTCTTTTCTTCAATGCTTTTACTTAATAACAAAAAATTAACGCAGTACTTTTACGGACTGTTGGATTGGTTCAGTCCCTTTTCCACCACTCATTGTGTTCATGTTAAATTAACAATCGGTTGTTCATTTTCAGGCCATCCATGGATATTGTTCTACACGGCACGAACATTGGAGATGCTGCCTGTAAAATCAAAATTGAAACTCCAAAATGCAGCTACTTGCCACAAGTTTGTTGCTGCACCCGAGTCTGGGTTTAGGGGAAACAAGATGGATAATGGTTCCCTAAATGGTTCAAGCACGTTTTCATCCTCTGAAAGTTGCAATTCAGAATATCATGATGATTGTGAGTGGATTGATGCACTTGCCACTGCAGTTTCACATGTGACTATATCCGGAACAAAGAGAACCAAGGTGTGGGGTCCCACTGGTCCAATTGATCCACAAGGTTCATCTAACTTGAAGACTAACCTCTGTAAAGCATTCTGACCTACTGACAGAATGACACCGACCGCATACACCACAATTTCGACTGCCTTAGCTGGGGTTTTATAATAAACTTAGCCCAACACATTCTACAATTGGGAAAAGTGGATTTCACGCTAACATCCCATATAAGGTTGACCTGGGTGCCAGTTTCTCTGGAAGTTTCTCTCTAGTGAAAGATCTAATTACAGTAATCTTTTTTGTTCCTTTGTCCATATAACCTACTAGAGAAAATTCAGTTGTACAGAACTCGTATATATAATGTTAATGTGTGGCTGGATGATTTTCCTCTTGCAGGAGAATTGTTTTATAAAGGAATATGTTATGAATTCACTTATTTAGTGAAAACTTTAAATTCTTTTTCTTCGGGATTTTAGTCAGAACCTATGATTGAACTTCTTGTCTTCCAATAAATTTCATTTTAAGGTGTAGTCTTCATTTTAAAGAATTCAAATTCTAACAGGATAGAATTGAAGATAGTGTACCCCGAGGAAAAATATCTGCCGTAAGTTAATATCAGTGAAACTTGACACGGGATCCATAAGGGACCATTAAAAATGGTAACATGTTCGGACAGTTGGGACCTGGTCCGGGGGTGGAGTAATTACTCCGGATTGGCAGGTTTCTATTTTACTCTCCATTTGGTTTGACGTGATGCAGAGGCAGTACAGAGGTCCCATAAAGACCAGAATGTGAAAGAGGGAAGAGAAGAAAACCATCGAAATGTTGTCCCAGGTTGTTAAAGGAAAAAGACAAACTCGAATTATAATCACAATAATTTAAGGCTATTTTTTTTTCTTTTTAATTGCATGAAATTTTATTTTTATTAATTGTAATACCTATATTTTATATTTTTATATTAGTTAAAATATTTTATCTAAACAAAACATTTAAAAAATAAATAATTTAAAAGTTATACTATATCTAACGAAGATTTCTCTTGTCATCAGAAAAAAAATACTATGTATAATTAGTAAAAAAATAATATACGATACATTAAAAAAATGGAAAGAGAAAAAAAAATATAACAACTTTTGGTTTCATCATACAAAGAAACAAACTATAATACATAAAATTACATGGAGCAATTAACAAAAAAAAATTTAAAATAATAAATATTTTATTATAAATTTTACACAAATTAGTAAAAATTAGTCATCATATATTAATAACTTTCTTTTAAATTTAAATATTTTTTATAATTTTAAGCAAATAATATAACTTACAATAAAATATTTATTTTTATTTTTTATTTATTTCTAATCAACTCTGAGCTTGAAATATATTTAAAATATGGAAAGAAAAATAAATAAAAAATAAAAATATATTTTAAAAAATAACATACAAAAATGTTGACACATACAAACATTTTATCACCTGTACTTCCACTAATAAAAATAATTCAAATTCAATGTATTTAAAAAAATTTATAAACCATAAAATTCCCAATTTAAAAAATAGCTTAATAATTTCTTACAACGAATCAGTAATTTGGGACTTTCGAGTTAAACAGTTTCACACGGAACTAAAGATTATCTTATCAGTTACGAATATAAATCATAGTAGCTAACTCCATAATTCTTAATTTATCACAGCATTCATAGAGAAATATAACACCGCAAACTATTAAGAACTTAAATCATTCATCATTTTTTAAAATAGAATTAGTGTTTTAACTACGTGATATATCTGATAAACACATCTCAAAGGCAGATACATTATAATAGAAAACTCCAAATTTACACCAAAATCTGCTATCATGGGTTTTGATGGATTAAGCCCTTTTAGCTGAGTATTTCAACCAGGAAGATGGGCTTTAAATCACTTTCTGAACATTTTGGACCAAAGGTACACAACAAAGAAACAGACTAACGCGAAAAGAATGACATGAATAATATGGTTTGAACCACTTTGGATGATGCTCTTGTTTAATCTTCTTAAGTTGTTCTTCACTCCGGCTTGAGCCTTTATCATTGTCATTTGCTGCATCGAAATAGATAAAGCTAAAATGTTAACAAGACAGTTGGGACATTTTCCAGCTAAAGAGGAGATAAAGTCACTAATTAATGTGAATCAACATGCAACAGCAGTCAGCCAGGAGATTTTTCCTGTATACTCTGTTAAAGACAGTAAAGGTTCAAAATATGGATAGAAGCATGAGTGACATGGTTTTTCCTTTCCTTTAACTTGTAAATCCTTAACATTACAACAAGCTGACCATAATTTTCTGATCGAAAAACGTTTTCTTCCAGTTAGCAGTCAGCTTGTTAAATCTAAAAGACAACAAAATTTCAATCAAAAATTCATTTTGCCCGATGCTTCATGGTGAATTGTAGTCATTTTCCCTAACAGAAAGCTTACATTCACGGGGACAGCACATTATTGATTCAACATGTGCCACAATCTGGAGGGAGATCCAAACTAATTAAGCAAGTATTATCAACATAGAGCGCATTATTGGTAGTAGTATATACATGGCACCTCCATACTACTCTCGGAAGAATTTTATATACTACAAACTTAGATGCAGATATATATGAACTTTGTCATATCATATTTAATTTTGTATCATTATTTATTTCATAATTTAGAATTCGGTTTTAAAGTTGCAATGAATTACCTCATTTTCTTGGCATGTTGATGGCTTTTTTTTATTCTATTTTATTTTTCACATTCTTTTGTATGAAATGAATAATTTGGGCAGATTAACTTTTAAATTATAAATATAATCAACATCAAATTATAAAATTAGCATGGTTTTAATGAAATTTGTTAATAAAATTGGATATATATATATATATAGTTCCGTGTTCCACGTGTCCCCTCACAACCAAAACATGCCCTTTGCGACACACAGATTAAACACTAGCAGAAAATAAAACTAAGAGAAGTGAAGATTATCCACGATTTTGTGTACCAGTTCTTCAAGAAAATTTTTCTGATTCTTCACTTCAGTTCCTATCTCCTCAGCAACCTGCACATTGGAAAGAGGATAAGAACAAAGGAAAAAGGAATGGACAAGAAAAAAAAATAGAGGAAGATATTTTCAAACAGGATATAGTTTCATCCAACTGGCTCCATAAACGGAATAATTAGCAGGATATGGTTAATTTAATTCAACGAGTCAATCTGCATTGACAGAACACTGTATAACTTGCGGTTGGAAAATGAACTTAATTTTTTATCATTCATAACAGCATACATGCATCAATTATAAAATATTCTAGTAAATACTGTCATGTGGAATGGGGAGAAAAAGCTAGAAAGAATACACACAACAAGCATATTCATATCATATGGCTCTCTTCATTGACAATTCCTTTTGGGGGGCCAAGAAGATGCACATTTCTTTTCAAGAATTAAGTGACCTTAAAAAATGTAGATATTTTTATATCCCCTACCAAGTTTCAGATTTTAAGGTGTAATCTACAGCCACTGGTTGTTCAAGTGTTATTGATTGCAGAAAATGGCAGAAAATCAATAATCTGTTAGATAATATAGTAGATAGCATAATGGAAAAGTGGCAGAAGTTAAATGGGGGGTTAAAATATATGATATGATTATATGTGTATAAAATTTTATGTTGTATGCAAATAATAAAATGCATAAAATTGGTATAATATTAACTGAAAATTCAATTGGCTGGAGACTCGCTGGAAATGACAAGAGGATGCAGGATGAATGCTACAACTACACACCTATAAAGGCTGCAACGCTGCTATAGGAAAACGGAGTGGCAATTGCAGATCAAAGGAATACTGCAATACAATAGCAAATAGTGGCTATCTAACAACACCGGGTTGTTTTCACAACTAAGGATCAAGATTTTATAAGGTTGCACCACATCAGCCACAGCTGCATTTGTTTGAAAGATCAAGGATCGCGCCATATGTGACAAGACTGTGATTGTGACCAGTGTGGCATGTTAAACCTAGTTCACAATCCTTTATTATTATCATGGAATTCAGAAAAAAAAAAAGTAGTATATACAGTGATTTTTTAGAAAGGTAACTTTCCCACTAAGTAAATAAAAATAAAAAATCTAGAAGGCATGAAGCAGATACAGAGCCAAAAAGCAAGGATAACTAGTGAAATGGTGTCCCCCCACGACACAAGAACCACAGTGTAATGTGCCAATAGGGGATTACCTACATTCCAAGTTCATAAAAAACAAAGAATCATAGAATAAGAGCAATCACTATTAGTTTGCAACTCATTGTTGGGTTAATTTATACTGAAAATAGAGTCCCCAACCCAAAACCTTGCTCTCTTATTTAACCTCAAATCTTGGCTATTAAACATGAGCAGTCCAGGTTCCCTCTATCAAGATTTAAATTGCAATGGTGGTCACATTCAATTTTATCAGGATCTGTTTGCAGGAAAATACTGACAAATGTGGCTGATGCAGGTGCAATTGTGATCACGCCAAAGACCTCAAAAACCGTGAGGTTAAAGTCAAAACAGAGATCTCAAAATCCTTGACATTAAGGTCAAGATTGCAGCAGCAAGCCACTTTTTAAAACCTTGCTCTCTACTAAGTTTTCATACATCATAACATGTAACACTTTCAAGTCGACAACCAACATCTACTTGGTTAAATACCAAACCGCTCAAATTCCCTTAAAAAAATGAACAGGGTTTGAGTTATCAAGCTTCATTTCTTCAAATGCGTCCAGCCCAATCCAGTCTCCTGATTCTGATCGATCAGTTCTAAAGGAATTTCAGATACTTAAGTTCTCAGTTGATAAAAAAATAACATCTTTTCTAAATTTCACACATGCCCAACAAAAACAAAGAAATAACAAGCACAAAGTGAATAAATCGAATAAAAAATTAACAAAAATGGTAGGAGATACATACATGTTTCAACCTTCTAACTTGGCGATGAAGACCGGTGATCTCATCATCCAAGTCCAAGGGATCAATTCGTAATTGGATCTCCTCAGCGGCACCTACGGGTCGGGTGCTAAGCCCATCTCTGCAATATCCAGCACATACTATTAATTGAATAGATATAAGGAATTCGAAAACACGCACAGCCACAGACGTACCTTGAACGGTAAGAGGCGGCGGCGCCGTAGGAAGAACCCACTCTGTGGGAATTGGCGGCCATAGAGGGAAATCAGAAGAAACCTAATTGGGTTGGTGGGAGGTTGTGTGAGTTTTGTTTGTTTCAATTTTTAAAGGGGAATGACAGGAATTAGGTCGATGGCGTTGAGCTTTGAATGATTAAAGGCGAGGAAATCTTAGTGAACAAGAAAATGGAAGGAAGAAGAGAAGAAATGGGATCCTGCTAGGCAACTGGGTTATCCCTCTCTTCCAAGAGGAATCCCATCCCTGTTTTTTTTTTTTTTTTATGATAATTTTTAAAAGTTTTTTTTTTTTCATTCAACTTTTCAAACTCTTCATCTCAATTTTGTCTTTATGTAGTTTTAAATCCATTAACTCTTGAATCTCCCTGGAAGAAGAAAGTGTGGACGAGTATATATAAATTAAACTATGTTAAAAAATCATAATTTTTTAAAATGAAATAAGTTGAATTGTTATTTTAATTCGATTCTAAAAACTAAATTACTTCTAAATACAACTGTTTGAATAAAATTGAATAATAATTACGATATTAAAACTATGTTTAAAAATAAAATATAATAATTTAAGTAATTTGAATAATTCAAGCAATTTAATAACAATTTTCACTTGAATCTTATGAAATCTAGTTCATCTAAATAATTATATAGTTGTGTTTTTAAAATTGAGTTTAATTTTCAATAATTGAGTTTATACATTTTACTCACTTCTAATAATGACAATAGGCAATTTTATTTCCCCTATACTAGTTCTGGATCAATATTTTAAAGATCGTACTACCATTAATTCTAAAAGTAAAAAGGAAAAAGATAAATGAAAAAAGTTGGTAAAACCTAATTCACCAAAGACAAAACATGTTACAAATAAACTAGATATGAAAAATAGAGTTAGATACTCTCCCGTTTTCTATCCTCTGTAATAATACATTACTCTTTGTAATAATTTTGTTATATTTTATTTTTAATAATTATTAAATATAAAGTCAATGATTAATATTAACCTTGAGAAAATGTACAATGGAAAATGTGTGGAAGGAAAGTATCTTTAGAAATAAAATAGTCAACTAACTCGTGACAAATAATATAGTATAAAATTAAATTATTTTTCTTTTTCTCTCTTTTTCTTCTTGAACGTCGTATTCCATTCTCATTATTCTTTTTTTACATCAAAATTTGTACAATTTATATTATTTTATATCTTTACTTTCAAAATAAAAAATACTTACCGGACGCCCAAAAGTTAATATCTTATTAATGTAGATACTATTATTAATTACTATAGTGATATTATATCTACCAAAAATCGTAATCCTTATTGAATTTTTAGAAGATTACGATAGATGCCAACTTTCATTAAATTGTATTTAAGGCATATTTGACTGAGTTGATTATAATTTATTTTAATTAATGATGTTTTATATGAATTTATGAAGGGCTAAGAAAAAAATACCAAAACTACTTATATTTTTTTAATAATTTATTTATTTTTAATATAAGGTGTAAATAATATTTGTGTATGAACTTTAATTTTCACATATATTTTTTAAGATTTGTAGCTCTATAAATAAATATATTTGCCTTCTCTTCATCATATTACATTATGTATAAATAATTAGGGTTCATAGCTCTATAAATAAATATATTTGTTTTCTTTTCATTACATTACGTTATGTGTAATAAGGGTTCCTAATAAGTATCAAAGGAGTGAACATGATAAAAAAATCGTCAAAATTATAAGAGTACGTTATCATGTAATGTGTCTAAAAAAATTTATTGTGGATCAATTGAACATGTCTCATTTGATATTTCTTACAAAGATAATTTATCTATTTATAAATTATTAATTTTACATGTTTTTTAAATATATTATTAATATACGAATAAGAGAATGTGATTGACTATTTTTATTAAGAATAAAAATAATCAAATTAATCATAAATAAAATATTTTTAATTAATAAGTTATAAATAAATAGTCAAAATGTTTATCTTATAAAAAAATATTTAAGAATTAATTAAAGAAAAATTGTGTTTATTTTTTATTATTATGAATATAATATGATTCATTTTAATCAACTGATACATTCAAATTATGTTATAATTAAAATTAATCATATTAAATTACAACAAAGTAAATAAAATGTTTTTTCTTTAATCAAATTTTAAATATTTTGATAATTTTTCTTTACATTTATTTATATAAACTAAATACTTTGATGTTTATGACTAGTGGAGGAAACATTTTTTTCTTTTTATTAACTTTTCTTTTTCTCTTATAATAAAGGTAATCAGATCACTTTCTCTCATTATTCCCTTCTTCCATTGCTTTTTTTGTTCTTGACCACATATAATAAATAATTGATTTAATAAATATTTAAAAAAACATATTGATAAGATAAAAAAATACAAAACATAATATAAAAAATATTACAGAAATAAAATATACAAAATATCGTATAGCTAATAAAAGACCAGATATAATAACCTTTAAAACTTTCAGTTGAATTACATGGTACTCCTCTTATTTTTTTATGAACTTTCTGGATAAAATTGTATTTTCCAAAAAAAAATTGATATTTATAAATGTTACAAAAAAACTATTTATCCTCTCTTTTTTAAAATAAAAATCAACTATATATAGAGAATTTTTTTGTCTTGTATAGATAATTAATTATAATTAATATTAATTTAATTTGAGAGCTCAAATTGTTAAATTAATTTCATATATTAAAAACATTACTTTTTATCATTATGATATTTTATAATATAATAATTTTAAAAAGTTTAAATATAAAAAATAAATTACAAAAACTAAATTTTACTAGTAATTAGCACAAGAAAGTATAGTAATAAGACCCACGTGACACACCAAAAGATTCGGGGATTAATGAGTCGCTTTCTTTTTCGTTAAATCCATGAAATATAATACAATCACATCAATATAGGCTGCGTCACGGATTACCTCATTAGCTCATGTCAATTTCTTTAAACTTTTAATAAAATTATATAGAATTAACTTTAAATTTCAATTTACGTTTTAAACTCCCTAAATATTAAAATTAATATATTTAAAATATGACTAAAAGTAAAAATTTATTTAGATAATAATATTGAATAGTGGTGCTCTAGAATTCAGACAAGTGATGTTACTTTTTCTTTAAAATAAATCATATTAAAAGAAAAATCACCTTATGTGTGTTCAAAATGGTTATATTAAAGTTTTTTACGAGATGAATAATTTGTATCAATAATACTATTATTATATAAAAAATATTTAGGTTCGTACCAGTGCATATATATATATATATATATATATATATATATATATATATATATATATATATATAAGAAATTACAATTATTTCAAATGAGATTATACTAAATAAAATCACAGTTATTGTAATTTAAAATATATTTTTAAATATTAAAAAAATAAACTTTCACCTTTTACGTTTTTGCAATCAGCGTCCATCACTCTTACAGTTTCAAATATACAAGTTCATAAAAAACATAAGAAAAGTATAAATATCTATTTAAAAATTAAATATAAATACCATTTAATTAAAATTAGTAAATGAATGTTTATCTCAAAAATAACATTTTAAATAAGTATATTAAAAAATATATTATCTGTAATTATTATTCAATAGTGTTATTCTTTATTATTGGGATTGGATATTAGTATTAATAATAAATGTTTATTAATTTTATGTGTCAAATATTGTTAACCTTTAAATATTATTATTATTATTATTTCAAACAGTTCAGAGGTCCACACGTCATTGAATTCAACTGAAGACACACGTGAAAAGGAATAAAAATAAAATAAATAGGGAAAGCCTCTGAGTCTCCAAGTGCTATAAATAAAAATGGGTATCTCCGCCACCCCAATGTAGAACAAACATCTCGGGACATATTCTCCGGCACCCGACCAACCCTTATAATTAACTCCGTTCAACAGTTGAATTCAGTTATTTGATTAGGGTTGGCGAACAGAGAAAAAAGAAAAGAAAAGATGGGAAGCGATGGCGTGAGAAAACCAAGATTCTTGTGCCTTCATGGGTTTCGAACAAGCGGAGAAATATTGAAAACGCAGCTACATAAGTGGCCACAATCCGTTCTCGACCACCTTGATCTTGTTTTTGCGGATGCTCCTTTTCCTTGTCAAGGCAAATCTGACGTCGAAGGCATTTTTGACCCACCTTACTACGAGTGGTTCCAGTTCAACAAGGTTCTCTCTCCATTCATTTTTTTTATTTTTTATTTTTGTTTAGAGCACACTTTTGTGTTACAGGTAAGAAAATTTACCGTTGATAAATAATATACAATTAAAGATAATCTACTGGGATTTGTATTACTATTATTAGTAATAGTATTATAGAAATACGATTGATTAAAAATCTATCATCTGTAATTCTAATTGTTAAAATGATTGGATGATAATATAAAAATAAGAATTCATAATCCTTATTTTATGAACTATAATCTGAGATTGAGCATAACTTATTTTCTCTGAATAAATTGGTATTGTTTTCCAATGGGATTTGAAATCTGTATTGGAAACTAGTGCATGATTCTAATATGGAAATTCAATTCTGACAAGAGAATATTACAAATTTTTGGTTGGTTTAATTATGTATCTTGCAAGCATCTAAACTTTTATGGGAAAGCAGGAATTTACAGAGTACACCAACTTTGACGAGTGCCTTAAGTACATCGAGGACTGCATGATCAAGCACGGACCTATTGATGGGCTTCTTGGTTTCTCACAAGTAATTTTCTGCTCATTTTGATATTTTTGTGAATCTGAACCTACCAGTTATTAGTACCTTGGGTTGTGTTTCTCTGAAATTTGTGGATATATGATTTTTTTTTCTTCCCTGGATAGAGAAGCTGAAGGATTAATGCATACCTAATGTTTGTTTATATGATTTGAGAGATTATGGTGGTGAAGGATTTGAATATGACATGGTGTTTGATTTTTGACCAAATAGGGGGCAATATTATCAGCTGCTCTGCCCGGTCTTCAGGAGAAGGTATGTGTAAAACTGTACTCTACAAACTTAGTCTGTTTTTGAATTTACTTTACCACAAAGGAAATAATATTTCATGAACTATACATAAATTATGGTTACAATTATTTTGATGTCTCGTCAAAGTTTGTGGTACATGTTAAATTTATTTATGTGCAGGGTGTGGCACTGACGAAGGTTCCGAAAGTGAAATTCATTATTATAGTAGGAGGGGCAAAGTTTAGGTCACCTTGGGTGGTGGAGAAAGCATATTCCTCACCCATTCGCTGTCCCTCTCTTCATTTTCTAGGTACCCACGTCGCCACCTTTTATTTTGTCGTTGTTTGTCTTTTTATAAAGCATATTCTACCTAGCCCTCATTCTTGACCCATCAATGATCACCCATTTCAATTTCATTCAATTAATAGAATAAATTTCTCTCATGGTATTAGAATCCCCACGTCTACCACATCAATGTTCACAATTTAAACATGTTTGATTGAATTTTTGTGCGCAAATAATTACAGTGTATAGTTTTAGAAAACAGTGTATACTTACATACTGTTTTCTTATTTCCTATTAATAGACTGGATTAGTAAAATAAAAGCTTTAAAATCGATTAAAATAGTAAAGAAAAATAGACTTGGACGTCAAATGTGTGTTCTTACGCATTCCTCAATGTATGTAAAACTAAATTTTCAAACAATAACAAATAAAATAACAGAAGTAGGATTTATCCAGAGCTATTATAAATTAAGTATTCCCAAGTCTTCTAATTTTTGTCTTAATTTGAAAGCAAAACACATGCAGATGAAAATTACTAATTGTAGTCTTAATCACTGCAAAACAAAGGTTCTATATAAAGGTACAAACATGGAATTCATGTTACAATAAACATGGTTTTAGAATTAATTTGGTTTACAATTTTCTAAAACTTTTTAATGCCTATTGCAGGTGAGACAGATTTTTTGAAAAAGTATGGAATGGAACTAGTTGAATCCTGTGATGAACCTGTGGTGATTCACCACCCCAAGGGCCACACAATACCAAGATTAGGTATACTCATCATCTATATATTTATTTATCTCTTTTATCTATTTGCTTCATGCTTGTGTCAGATAAGTTCTTACTTAGGCAAATCTGATTTATATTATTATAGTTTTGTTAAAAATTGGTATTTGTTTTAATATTTTAAAAATGGTAGGTTAAGTTTTTCTTTTAGATGTGGTGAATTTAGTTCCTAGTTAGATCAAAATAAAATACAAGAGTAAGGATGAAATTCATCACATTTCAGAAATACAAAGATTAAAATAATTATTTTGGTATGTAAGGAATAAAATTATTTTTTACCAAATTTTGAAGAACAAAAGCATATTGTATTTTCCTATTTTATATTATTCATATGGTCCCAATAAGTGGTATTGTGAGTTATTGACATGAATAGTTTTCTCTCTTCCTTTTCAGATGATAGTAGCTTGAAGACCATGATGGATTTCATCGAAAGGATCAAGAAAGACGTCTAAGCATAATAAATGAGTTTAAACAACAAGCCATTGCTTCAAATTTAACATTAAGTAATAACATTAGTTACTTTTGTACAATTTTGTTACTCTTCTATTCATATGTATACGCAGAGGCTCTGAGCCAATTTCATTCACATCTTCCTTTATTTTTGGTTTTATGCGGTCAATCTTTCTTTTGTGGCATACCAAGCCGAAAATATTGACTCGATAAATTTTATTATTATTTTTTCTATAACATGATGAATGAGGATGAACACTTTCTTTTTTCATCAAACACGATCAAAGACCTTTTTTTAATTATTTTTTATTTAATATTTATTTATTTTGATCAGTTTTATTTTATTATTAATTTTTACTACAGGAATTTTAGATTTTTTTATACATATTTATCCTGATGGAAAATAATCTGTCGCTAAAATTATATTACGATGGATACATCAATTGATAAAGTCCTTCAATGTTACATACAAAAATTTGGTAAAAGTTTAACCAATTGTTTATTAAGTTATATTTTAATAAGATTATTAGGTTATGATTTTAGATTCCCTTAAAATTCGGGTCCGCAATTTTTACTATCTGATTTTAGGCCCGCGTTTAGAAATTTTGCATCTTTAATTCAATCTTCAATCTCGCATATATTTATTTATTTATTAGTTTGGTTCAATTTTATATTGCAACGATAAAGTTCAACTACACCAAAATTTCTAAAAATTTCCAATTGTTTTTATGCAACCCTTTGTAGGACTTTTCAATTAGTTTTTGTTTCTAGCTTGTGTGATTTTATTAATAGTATTTGATAATTAAGTTTTTTTTTTAAGTAGTTTCTATCAATTTTTGAAACATTACTTAAATAACCTATTTTTAAAATGTTAGTTTTCAACTTTTTATAATTATTTCTTTTAATATTTTATATAAGATAACTTTTTATTTTCATTTGTAACTATTATTTTTATTTTATATTGCATTATTTACTTAAAAACTATTATTCTATTTCCATTATTTATCTTATTATTTACTAAACATTTTTTTTATGTACACTTTTGACAAGCTATGTAGGCAACTTTCATCTAAATTTTTTTTTATTTTCGGCTAGCTTTTATGTTAAATGTGGATAGCCTTGGTTACGTCATGTATCTCGATTTAGATTTAAACGTACAACACATAAGCATTTTGTTATAATATTTGCTTTTCAGAATGGCATTTGACATTATTTTAGAACGTTGGCATATGACCAAAGAACCAACGTATGAAAGAACTTGCTATCTTGTATTCTGCAATATTAAAAGATTGAGAATACTTCTTTACTTGTCTGGCCAATATTAAATGCAAGTGTGGACCCTAATGGTCCACTCAACAAATTCAAAGGACAAATCAATAACCTGTAGATAGAGGCTAAAATGATTATTTTTGTGGCCTTGGAATGGGATGTCTGGAGCATGCAAAAATAATGCAATGAAAAAAATTACAAAGCTGAAACTTGAAGATATCTCCTCTCATACAAACCAATTACTTGATCAGCCACAGCCCACATAATGGCCTGCCCAGGTGGGATCCTCATGAGCCGAGGCAACAGACCTTTCCATAGGGCACGAAGTCCTTCCTCGGCATATATTGTTCTAATGGCATGGATCATACCCTTGTATTTCACTTCACCCCCTTCTCGGCTCTGAGCCATCAACCTTGTTTTCACTACATCAAATGGACCAGTACAAATAGGACCTGCTGTGCCTGCAAGGAATCCAGAAATCATAGATTGCCATGGTTGGAGGACTTTCCCATCCCCTTCATGCTTCTTCCACAGAAGCACATCAAAAGCATTTTTGGCAGTAAACATGGCAGATTGGTTTGTCCCATTACGCATAACAGTAGGAGCAACACCGGCCCAAAGCCCACGGAAGCCTTCTTCTCTAATAATCATTCGAGCACAGTGAACAGGACCTTTATATTTCAAAAGCTCAGGACTTAGACCTCTCTGCTGCTGCAATCTTATCTTCACAACCTGCAATAAGACATGATACAAACATGAACCTCTCCATGCCAAAACCAAACTATATGCAGATGATACAGTAATAACGAAAGAGTGTCATCCACTGTTGCAATCCATTTAGGCAACTAGAAAGTAAGCAGCATCTCAACAAGATAAACATTGAGATAAATTTGACAGTATAAATATAATCTGACAAGAGTAATTAAAGTAGTGACAAGATTTTATTTTATTTAATTTTTAAGCATAAAGGTTTAGGGAAGGGATTGCCTTATTTCATGCTCAGGCTATGCTACAAGGCCTTACAATGGTGCTTAAAAATGATCTACCGATGAGAGTTCACTAGCTGTAATAAAGCAAAGGAACTTTTCCATTCTCCTTCCATCTCGTATGCATAAACAAAAATCAGAATTTTTTTCATTTGATTGACCATATGCTCCATACTTCAAAAGTCTGTTAATTAATCTGCATAAATTAAAAATCTTATACGCTCATACTAGTTAAAGTTCTCTTGATTTTATTGTAAAAAGAAATGTTGGCTATCTAAATTTGCTCTTAATATAATTACATTAAAATGATATATATTTTTCTAAGTCACATTTTCATATCACCAAATCAAACTCAAATAGGTGAAGGAAAAAACAGAAGCTTGCAAAACAGCAAGCAACATAATAGCAATAAATAAATAATGTTAGTACCCCATCTTAAAATCCAAAAAATTGTAATAATTAAACGGTATAAACAACTGCAGAGTAATGTTGGTTCCGCAACATTAGACAATCTGCTCCCCCATTAAAGGCCGTAGAGAAATCATCAAGCCTTAGTCTTTTACAGAGATGCTATTTATATAAAGCCATGTACATTAGCTAACAACTCTAGCTTACTTAACAGATAGTACAGCCATCAGATAGTGACAGCTAAATAACTACTGTTACATGAGCTATTGATAGAAGCAGCAGCCCCAATAAGAAACCGCAGCAGCCCCAATAAGAAACCACAGCAGACTCCAGTAACAGCAGCATGAGAGAGTCCTAGTGGTGAATGAGAGGCCTAAGAGATCAAACATTAAGCCTATGCAGTGGACTGAATTTATTATAAATGAATTAAATAATTGATGACTCAGATCGTTCTAGAAAAGGTTTGTTATGATGCTGTTAGTAGGGAGGATCTTTGGAATCACCAGGTTTGTTAGAAAGTTGCATTTGCCTTTTATATAGTTATGTATTACCTCTTATGCCGTAATGAGAATTCAATCCAATCTCCTTCTATCCTTTACTTTGGAGGTCTTCTCTGTCCTCGAACTCAGAATATTCTCATTACTATTAGAGATCTCACTTAAGCCTTTTACAGTATATACCCTAAACACTTATCAATGAAAGCACCTATACATAAGTTGTTTCTAAAATCCAAGGAGGAAATGAGAATTAATTGTTTTTATACAATTTGCTAGTTGTTCTGATAAGATATCTTCAAGAATTTATTGAAATAAACTGAAAACTTATGAAGATATCATAAGCTATTTTTATAAGCTCTCTCAAATACTCAACACAGGGAATTACGTTATGTCATACAATAAGTCCAAATAAGTTGTAATAAACCTGCCAAATGCACCCTCATGATTAGGTGCTTTCAGTTACATATCATAAGTAATATCAAGTATTAGAAAATCAAGTAAATACATTGAAAAAAAAAAAGAATACCTCAGCATAAAAGAAAGCCTTGAATGATCAAAATACTTACCTAACAAGACTAAAAGTGATAATGGTCAACTAATTTAGTAACAAAGATTTCAATTAAACCATTAATAATTAAACATTGCTATACCACTAAAAATATATTAGATGATAAACATTATAAATTTGTATAATTAGTATAACTACAAAGAAGAAACCCAAACCAAGATTATCTAGTCAACTAATAAGCAGAATTATTTTTATTGAAGGGTAATGTTGAGGACATAAATTTTAAATTTAAATTCCACAACAAAGCATATAGATATAGTAAATAATTATAATCCAAATCTGGTGAACGCAAAGAGTGCCACCAAATTATTTCAGAAAAAAATAGTGTTATGGCATGCATTTCTCCTCATGTTTTTTTGCTTGATTATTAAGTTTAGCTCAAATGTAACATACTAACAGTCTATAAGAACTCAAATAATTACTGGTTACATATTAATCAAATAAAAGGCCCTAACCTCAAATGGTGTGACAATAATAATAGCCTCAAGCACTCCAGCACCAAACCCAGAAAGGAACCGCCCATGACCACTAAGCTTGCCAGTCTCAGGGTCCTTAAATGCTGATTGGAGTACAGCATTTGAACCCATTCGAAGTGCATACTTCAAGGTCAAATGCATAGCAAAAGGTGTCAATCCTTTCCACAAAGCCCGTACCCCTTCTGTTTGTGAAATTGTGGCACCGCAGTGCAATATTCCCTTGTAATTCCCTGACCTATCCAGCTGCAATCTGGTCTTGATCACATCAATTGGTTGTAGGCAAGAAGCCTCCATAATTCCTCCAAGTGAGCCAGAGATAGCCTTCATGTAGGGTGGGATTGATTTCTTGGGATATGAGTTTGTGTTATCTTGTGCAACATCTTGTTTCATGGTTGATGGAGCTTTAATTTGTTCACCTTCAAGCTACAACAAAATATGGCAATGTAAGTAAACGTGTAAGATACTTGATGGAGCTAATTAAGTACATTCTTGTAAGATAGTCAAACATTCAAATAACAATCATTGGGTTTAGCTTGTGTTTTACAAAAGTTCTTTGTATGACCAATTAGGTTTAAATAATTTGGAAACCATCATGTGTTTGCAAATATGTGCAGAGTTATAAAAAAGGGAGTCCATAGGGTGTGGAATGTCTTCCCCAGAAGAGAAAACAATAGATTCCTCCACTACTTGCAAAACAACCAACAAATCATACATGGGAAGTACAGTGGAAAATAGATGAATTGAAACATTTTAGTTTTGTTCTCATAGGTTATCTCTTTTGGAGACAATCATGCTCAATACCGTCAAATATCCTAAACAAAACTGAAAAGCATTGATGATGAACTGGCATTAATCACCTACCCTGCTAACAATGTATTCCTAAAGACTCCTAATATGAAACCAATCATTTGAAAAAATACAAGGCCGCCAATATGAAATAAGTAACCGTGCCACATTGTGGAAACAGTGGCTTGCCCATACATTAGAGAAAGAGTAAACATCCAATGCGGGTATTTCATCAAGTCATTTGAAAGAAAAAGCCATCAGCTCCTTGTACTTCAGTCCCTTAGGTTTTTAGGTTTCCACCACATCAGCAATTGCAGCCAGATCAGCTACAACAATTGTGACAAGACTGTGATGGCGACCAGAGTTGCATCTTAAAACCTAGTTCACAACCCTTTATTATTATCATGGAATTCAGAGGAAAAAAAAAAAAGTAGTTTAGAGAATGATTTTTTTAAAAAGGCCATTTTCCCAGTTCAATTTCCTTAAAACAATGAACTGGGCTTGAGTTATCAAACTTCATTTCTTCAAATGCGTCCAATCCAGTCCAGTCCACTCCCGTACAACAAACTTAGATGCAGATATATCAACTTTGTCATACCATATTTAACTTTGTATCATTATTTATTTCATAATTTATAACTCTGACTTTTAGATTGCAATGAATGACCTCATTTTCTTGGATATTGATGGCTTTATTTGCTTTCCACATTTATTTGCGATATACAGTTTAAACACTAGCGGAAAACAAAACTAAATGAAGCGAAGATTATCCAAGACATTGTGTACCAGTTCTTCAAAAATTGCGACCACACAGTCGCATATTAAAACCTAGTTCAGCAGAGAACGTGTTCAGGAAATTCCCCAACACGCTCCTTCCTACGGTGAAATTGAGTCCATAAAAGCATCCAGTATGAAGGGAATTACAAGTTCAATGAATTTCATACTGAAAACCGTGTAGAGGAGGGTTGTTCTCACCAAATGAAAAATGAAAATAATAATTAATTAAAATCTTGAAACCTAAACAATAACGTGGAACCCGTGGCTCATACAATGGATGCATGCGAAGGTTTTGTTGCATCAATAATCAGTTAATTACACAGAACCAAAAAATTTAACACAAGAAGAAAAAAGAAGAAAAAGTTGAAGAAGCTCACAGAGGCAGTGGGTGGCGTCTTGGCCTCGCGTCGCCGAAAGATTCGGAGCTCGTGTAATGGCGTCGCGTTGCGTCGGTTGAGGCGAGAAATCCACGTTTTGTTTTACGTCTAAGAAAGTGTAGGCACTGCCACCAATTTTTTAGTTTTTTATTGTATTTTAAAATAATTAAATAAAAGTATGCGTGGCATCGAAAATAATTACGTCAATTCCATTTTAACGAGAATATTGCGTATTGTTGAAAGGTAATAAATGTTAATAAATCTTTCATACATTGCTAAATTTCGTGGGATAGAACAATATTTTAAAAAAATTTATGTTTAAATGATTATATGTCTATTATATCATAATATTTGTAAGAATATGATTTTATTATTATATTATAAAAAATAATTTAAATATATCTTTCTCTTAATATATTAATATATTTTTAAAAATAAAATTATCACGAATCAAAATTTTAAAAATAAATAATATTTCAGAAAAATTAATCCAATAATATTATCATGTTAAAATATTTTTAAAATATTTATTTTTTTAATTTGTCAGAATTTTTGTTAATTTTTATTTTTAAGTACTAATATTTATTAAAAATATTTTTATTTCATTTTATTTATCAAAAAAGAAAAATAACACTGTTTAAGAATACAAACAGTTTATTTTAAAAAAAAATCCTGAAAGATGTGTCATTATTGAATTAATTGTCAGAAATTATAAAATTACTTGGGTTTTTATTTTCCCGCCAATAGAACTCGGAATATAAAAATAAATTAAGGATATATTTGATAATATCTTGAAAACTATAATGAGGTTAGCAATATGTAACATTATTTTAAAATGCATATAGAGATGTCATTTGGATTAATTTAAAATGTATTGTTATTTAATTAATTTAATCCTAAAAGAGTTTATTGGTTATATTTTTATTTATAATTGAAGAGTAGTTTTGTCTAGAGCTTGATAAGTAGACAATGCGGTCTCGATTGGTCAAGTGAATATACTCATTTTAAAACAATTTGGTCCTATTTAATTATATTTTGGTTTGACTTAAAAGAAAAAAAAACTAAATTTAAAATGATTTTAAAATTTATTTCCTTTTAAAATTAAGTGACATAAATTAAATTAATTCCAATTTTTGAAAAGACTAAATATAAATTTGTTAGTGAAAAATCTATAAAAGGATCGAGAAAGTAAAAGGAAACAAAAAATCGAGAACTATACAAGTGATTAACAAGTCGATGCAATTGCTAGAACACCTAGTAAACACAAAGACAAAAACATATCGAGAATTGGAATCGAAAATCGAGGGAATAACGCTTAACGTCCGTTGGTGATGAAAATCAAGAAAACAAAATCTGGTAACGTTAAGGATATCAAGAATCAAAAGCAAATCCAAAATACTCGAAGTTGCGAAATCTAAATCGAAGGAAAGACTAATATACGTGAATATCGAAATTTTGGCTAAGAAGAACGGTCAACGTATACATCGAACATAGTAAGCGGTAGCAAAAGTCGAAGGTCAAGGGAGCGGTTACCTCATTCATGGGAACGTGGATACAGTTTCTAAACCGCAGAGCTAGGAACAAAACTGTAAAAAACGTGCACAGAGAACGTGGTAGTAGTCTTCGCTAACTGCTCTTAAAAGACTACTTGAAAAGACACTATAAATAGAGCAAATGACGAAAGGAAAGGGGAGCAGAAAATTGGCAGAGAACAGAATCATTAGTGAGAAGTCTACCGGAGAAACGACGAACATCATGAAGCTTCTGGCAATTTGGATTTCCATGCTCATTGAGTACCTTTACCGTTTTCTGTATTTTCCTTGGTAATTTACTTTGATGCAATTTATCTTTAGCAATTTTATGTTTCTGTACTTTCGATTTTGGTCATTTCGATTCAATGAAAGTTAAGCTTCGCGTTTAAGTTTTCTTGTCATTTAACATTAATGCAATTTCGATTTCCAAGTTATTTATACTTTACGCACATTTGATTTACTCGTCATTTATACTTCCTATTATTTACATTTCGCTCGTTTCGATTTCCTGTCTTTTATACTTAAAGCAAATTTAAGATCTCCGCATGTTACGTTTCTTTGCAATCTAATGTTTAGCATCGCTTTCGATTCCACGAATTTTCTGTTTTCTTTACTTCGAGCACTTTAAATATAAAACACCAAAAATAGTATCTTTGAAATCGGGCAAAATTCGATCCTCATACGCATCTCGATTGAAAATTAATTTGCTAGCCTAAGTAAAAAGAACTTACGTGGTAGAATTTTGATTAGGATCAAAATATCTTAAGAGTCGAAATGGATCGAAATTCCACCAGAACCAAATTGGCGTGCCAGGTAGGGTTAGCCTTGTGTTAAAAACACAAAATTGGTTAGTTCGAGAGTGTATGAGATTAAGAAGTGGACGAGTTATAAGAATGAGTCAAAATTCATCAAATAACCAGAGTAACAGTGAGGGTCTAAATGGTGTACATTCACCAAATACTGGGGGGCAAAGTCATAATGGGAATATGCCTGTAACATCGACAACTGCGAGTATGTCGATACCTGTAGGTAACGAACAAATTTCAGGTACCTTAACAAACACCCAAGTAGGATCTAATGCGGTGGTACCAAATAATATGCAAACTATAGGAAACCCCATAACAACATATGTAGGGTCATATATGAGTGTAACACCGCCTGGGTTTTCGCTTAATAATATGAGCGGGGCCGGAACTTCTTCAACACAGCGGAATTCGAGATATAACTTAGGAATGCCTCAAACACTGGGCATGCCCCAAAATTTTGGAGTCCCTCCGAATTTAGGGACATCTCAAAACTTAGCAATCCCCCAGAATTTAGGAGGTGGACAGAATTTAGGCACACAACAAACGCTTCCAAATCTAGAGCATAGAGGAAATCTAGATCATAGAGGAAATTTGGAACATGGAAGATACACATTCGATAGAGATTATCATCGATCCAATTTTGAGACTATCGAAAACATTGGTACTGGGATATCCAGTAACTCATTAGGGATACTTAGACAACAAATGGATGAGAGTAATTTTGAGATGGTGAATATGTTGTCACAACAGTTGACTACAGTCCTAAATCCATTAGTTCAAAACACTACTGCTAGTTTTGAGATATTAGCAGACCAAATGTCACGCATCGGGAATGCATTGGTTGTACCTCGACAAACAAGGGTAGAAAATCATTTTAACCAGAATGCTAATATCAATCCCCCGTATCTATTAAGGAGAAATCGAAACAATGATCAACATCAGCATACGGGGAATGAATACCAACAGATGAGAAATGATATTTGTGGGAATCTGAATGAAGGATTTCAAAATATGTACAATAAGAATAACATGCAGTATAATCACATGTTAGGACAGAGGATGAATTTCCAAGGGATGGAGTTTAGACCACCCAATCAAACATACTTTGTGTCTCCCTTTCCAAATGCGATTCTCGAGACGGAACTACCTCGATGATACAAAGTACCTAAATTCACCAAATTTGCTGGAGAAGTTGGTGAATCAACTATCGAGCATGTAGCTCGATATCAGATCGAATGTGAGGACCTAGCGATGAGCGAGGAATTAAAAATGAAATATTTCCCTAGTTCTTTAACTAAGAATGCGTTTACTTGGTTTACTTCATTGCCACCCAATTCGATATATAATTGACTGCAACTGAAAAGAAATTTTCATGAGCAATTCTTTAGAGGAGAAACTCAAGTAAGCCTCATCGATTTGATGAATATAAAAAGATA